AACGTCTGGGGAAAAATTATGCAATGTGGCCATCAGACTGACATAAATTAATGTATTGGCAGTCCGTAGATTAAGACTAATCGATGCTCATGTAGCTTTCTCCAAGAACTTACCACAACTGATCCAGCTTCAACTTACTCTAACTACTGTAGCAACGACATTCTAAAGTTTTAATGCGACTTTGTGCATCAACTTTCATTTATCAATGTAGCATTGTGCTTAAGTTAGCTTACACAATGTAGGGCTAAGCTATAATTTAGCTCACAGAATGTACAACTAATCTATGATTTAGCTTACAGAATTGGCCTGTAAAGAAGATATTCCCTTTAGTCTTGGCCATCTAGTATCCCCAAAATCTTTCTCGAAAAATCTTTTCTCTTTCTCTTCAAACATGAACCCTATTTTTCTTTTAATATAAAACTGATTCTTTCACTTTCAATGTGACCTCCTTAATTCATTTACCCCTAATGTTACCCTTATTCATTCTATTGTTATAAACAAGTAATCTTTAATTAGCGTAACTTTGAGACTGAACGACAAATATATTTTAAACTTTTCAAGGCGTGATCCCATTCCTCGTTACATGTCCATAGAGCAAAAAAGGTGTGGTAAGGTTCTGAACTTGCTAGAGAGTACGAAAGAAGGCTAGAGCCGTGTATAACCTAGGCAATAATATGTCTTCTAGCACATTTGCATTGCACCATCATGAGGATAAGTATTTTGATTGAGGAAAGTTTCTGCAAGAGGGAGCACGTCATTGAACTTATCACACAATATCACCACCAGGTTTGGCACTACTCCTTGTTCCCGCAAATGCCATACTGTCTTTCACCTATCAGGTTGAATCACTCCAGTTGCCTAATATGTCATCCAGTGTATCCAGTTTATATATATATATATATATATATATATATATATATATATATATATATATATATATACTGCCTTATATACCTAGAAAAGTAGTGTAGCTTTATTAATTCTTAAAAGTTTTTTTTTTTTATTTTCTTCTTTGTAGTGCATAAAAAGCTCGTCTAAAAGAGAAGAAAATGAAATAGTAAGGACATACCTGTTGTCCAGCCTCAAATGTTGTCCTTTGTCTTGTAAAAATATAAACTTAGCTAGTAGCATCTGAACAATCATCAAAATAATTGCAATAAGGACTGTCGGCCTACAAGATAGATATTAGCATTAGTTAAGGCCTGCCTACCTATTAATTAGATATTTACATTAGTCAAGGCCTGCCTACCTATTAATTAGATATTTACATTAGTCAAGGCCTGCTTACCTATTAATTAGATATTTACATTAGTCAAGGCCTGCCTACCTATTAATTGGATATTTATATTAGTCAAGGCCTGCCTACCTATTAATTGGATATTTACATTAGTCAAGGCCTGCCTACCTTTTAATTGGATATTTACATTAGTCAAGGCCTGCCTACCTATTAATTAGATATTTACATTAGTCAAGGCCTGCCTACCTATTAATTGGATATTTACATTAGTCAAGGCCTGCCTACCTATTAATTGGATATTTACATTAGTCAAGGCCTGCCTACCTTTTAATTGGATATTTACATTAGTCAAGGCCTGTCTACGTATTAATTAGATATTTACATTAGTCAAGGCCTGCCTACCTATTAATTGGATATTTACATTAGTCAAGGCCTGCCTACCTATTAATTAGATATTTACATTAGTCAAGGCCTGCCTACCTTTTAATTGGATATTTACATTAGTCAAGGCCTGCCTACCTATTAATTAGATATTTACATTAGTCAAGGCCTGCCTACCTATTAATTGGATATTTACATTAGTCAAGGCCTGCCTACCTATTAATTGGATATTTACATTAGTCAAGGCCTGTCTACGTATTAATTAGACATTTACATAAGTTAAGGACTAGATATATATATATTTTAGTTAAGCAAATATTTGAACAGATGTTTGAATAGACGCAACATAATATATTTGACTGTATGAGCCTAACCTCATGTCGGTGGTTACATCATGGCCTCGTGTATAACACATCATGGCCTCGTGTATAACACATCATGGCCTCGTGTATAACACATCATGGCCTCGTGTATAACACATCATGGCCTCGTGTATAACTCATCATGGCCTCGTGTATAACACAACATGGCCTCGTGTATAACACATCATGGCCTCGTGTATAACACATCATGGCCTCGTGTATAACACATCATGGCCTCGTGTATAACACATCATGGCCTCGTGTATAACACAACATGGCCTCGTGTATAACACATCATGGCCTCGTGTATAACACATCATGGCCTCGTGTATAACGACTAGTGTTTCTCTCAATCATTACTACACAAAGAGTCGCAAGCCACATCCATATTAAAAACAATTGTACACACCACTTTTGGTTGTAGGTTGAAAATTTATGAATGAATATAACTATGTAATATTATGTATCTTGTGGAACTGTCAGTCTACCATGGTGTAGAATGATGTCAGTCTACCATGGTGTAGAATGGTGTCAGTCTACCATGGTGTAGAATGGTGTCAGTCTACCATGGTGTAGAATGGTGTCAGTCTCCCTTGGTGTAGAATGGTGTCAGTCTACCTTGGTGTAGAATGGTGTCAGTCTACCTTGGTGTAGAATGGTGTCAGTCTACCTTGGTGTAGAATGGTGTCAGTCTCCCTTGGTGTAGAATGGTGTCAGTCTACTTTGGTGTAGAATGGTGTCAGTCTCCCTTGGTGTAGAATGGTGTCAGTCTCCCTTGGTGTAGAATGGTGTCAGTCTACCTTGGTGTAGAATGGTGTCAGTCTCCCTTGGTGTAGAATGGTGTCAGTCTACCTTGGTGTAGAATGGTGTCAGTCTACCTTGGTGTAGAATGGTGTCAGTCTACCTTGGTGTAGAATGGTGTCAGTCTCCCTTGGTGTAGAATGGTGTCAGTCTCCCTTGGTGTAGAATGGTGTCAGTCTCCCTTGGTGTAGAATGGTGTCAGTATCCCTTGGTGTAGAATGGTGTCAGTCTCCCTTGGTGTAGAATGGTGTCAGTCTCCCTTGGTGTAGAATGGTGTCAGTCTACCTTGGTGTAGAATGGTGTCAGTCTACCTTGGTGTAGAATGGTGTCAGTCTCCCTTGATGTAGAATGGTGTCAGTCTCCCTTGGTGTAGAATGGTGTCAGTCTACCTTGGTGTAGAATGGAGTCAGTCTATCTTGGTGTAGAATGGTGTCAGTCTACCTTGGTGTAGAATGGTGTCAGTCTACCTTGGTGTAGAATGGTGTCAGTCTCCCTTGGTGTAGAATGGTGTCAGTCTACCATAGCGGGGAATCTAATTAAATGTACTTACTCTGGAAACATGTTGGAGGTAGAATGTTGCAGATACGTTGGAGGGATGTGCATAATTTCACTGTCCCTGTCGGCCAGATGTCCCTGTCAGGCCAGATGTCCCTGTCAGGCCAGATGTCCCTGTCAGGCCAGATGTCCCTGTCAGGCCAGATGTCCCTGTCAGGCCAGATGTCCCTGTCCCTGTCAGGCCAGATGTCCCTGTCCCTGTCAGGCCAGATGTCCCTGTCAGGCCAGATGTCCCTGTCAGGCCAGATGTCCCTGTCAGGCCAGATGTCCCTGTCAGGCCAGATGTCCCTGTCCCTGTCAGGCCAGATGTCCCTGTCAGGCCAGATGTCCCTGTCAGGCCAGATGTCCCTGTCAGGCCAGATGTCCCTGTCAGGCCAGATGTCCCTGTCAGGCCAGATGTCCCTGTCAGGCCAGATGTCCCTGTCAGGCCAGATGTCCCTGTCCCTGTCAGGCCAGATGTCCCTGTCCCTGTCAGGCCAGATGTCCCTGTCCCTGTCAGGCCAGATGTCCCTGTCAGGCCAGATGTCCCTGTCCCTGTCAGGCTAGATGTCCCTGTCCCTGTCAGGCCAGATGTCCCTGTCAGGCCAGATGTCCCTGTCCCTGTCAGGCCAGATGTCCCTGTCCCTGTCAGGCCAGATGTCCCTGTCAGGCCAGATGTCCCTGTCCCTGTCAGGCCAGATGTCCCTGTCAGGCCAGATGTCCCTGTCCCTGTCAGGCCAGATGTCCCTGTCCCTGTCAGGCCAGATGTCCCTGTCAGGCCAGATGTCCCTGTCCCTGTCATGCCAGATGTCCCTGTCCCTGTCAGGCCAGATGTCCCTGTCCCTGTCAGGCCAGATGTCCCTGTCCCTGTCAGGCCAGATGTCCCTGTCATGCCAGATGTCCCTGTCCCTGTCAGGCCAGATGTCCCTGTCCCTGTCAGGCCAGATGTCCCTGTCCCTGTCAGGCCAGATGTCCCTGTCAGGCCAGATGTCCCTGTCAGGCCAGATGTCCCTGTCCCTGTCAGGCCAGATGTCCCTGTCCCTGTCAGGCCAGATGTCCCTGTCAGGCCAGATGTCCCTGTCCCTGTCAGGCCAGATGTCCCTGTCCCTGTCAGGCCAGATGTCCCTGTCCCTGTCAGGCCAGATGTCCCTGTCCCTGTCAGGCCAGATGTCCCTGTCCCTGTCAGGCCAGATGTCCCTGTCCCTGTCAGGCCAGATGTCCCTGTCCCTGTCAGGCCAGATGTCCCTGTCAGGCCAGATGTCCCTGTCAGGCCAGATGTCCCTGTCAGGCCAGATGTCCCTGTCCCTGTCAGGCCAGATGTCCCTGTCAGGCCAGATGTCCCTGTCAGGCCAGATGTCCCTGTCAGGCCAGATGTCCCTGTCAGGCCAGATGTCCCTGTCCCTGTCAGGCCAGATGTCCCTGTCCCTGTCAGGCCAGATGTCCCTGTCAGGCCAGATGTCCCTGTATAAACCCTAACCCTAACCCTAACCCTTCTGGTATTATGGATGTGTGATTGGTTTGGACATTTCTGTCCCAACGAGAATGTACGGATTGGTAAACAATATCAAAACCGCTGTGTCCCCTTACTTCAAAATAAAATGTCTTCAAAGATCGATTGGGTTGTAAGTAAGAAAAAAAAAGTCGTACCAAAACTGTAGAACTTTCTCCTTGAGGAAGTCAGTGATGTTAAACATGAACAGGTTCACAAGTGCTCCAACAGCAAAACAAACAATTGCTATGATAGCAAAGTTGACGACAAACGCTGAAAAGAATTCAATGAATTTTTACTAAGTTTCTAGGAACAAAAAAGTAGATCTGTCGACAGTGACGTTGAGTTTTTGAAAATATTTTTGAACCGCTGAGGGGGGGGGGGGGGGGTAGATCATCCAACAGCTAAACGAAAACTCCAACTTCCAGATGATCCAAAAACAGCAGGTTTATCAGTACAAATCAAAGTGTAGCAAGGCTGTCTGTTTTCAACAATGATTTACTTTCATAGTCATCGATTGAATTATGTTAAAAGCAAGCTCAGGAATTCAGTGGATCCTTACCAAAAAGTTCGAGGACATTTATTTTTTGAACATCGTTCTCCTATCAAATCGACAACAGCATGCGATGTCCAACCAAAGCAAACTGTAAGAAGAAGCGCTAAAGACAGGCTTAAGATAAACTAAAAGAAAACAGAGACGAGCATACAGGAGCTCGCACTAAACATGCGAGTAAAGACATTTCGGACGCTTCAAATATACAGAAAGTGTAGTAAGCAAGGACGGGGGAGCAGATGAGGACATCAAAAGTCACATCAGCAAGGCCAGGTATGTATTCAACACACACTGCACAATTTGGACCTCAATAACACGGACATCAACTTGAAATGTGTTCTCTATAGTATTGAGACGTGGAGAGTAACACAAACTAATACAACCTTGTTACAATCGGCTTCTTATGTATTTTTGGCTCGTTTTGGGCCAGGTGTAACAATTATAAATAAACACAATCCACAACGAGAATCTGTATCATGGGTGTATAATTATCATCAATCACAAGAACACACGACAAGAAGAACAACTGATGAGCAGGTACACGATGTTGACACCACACCACATAGCTTCACACACTGCCTCGTTCACACACTTAGTCCCGCTAGCACACCACATTCAAGGGGAGGCTACTCTCGTACACACTCTCTCCGTGTCGACACATTTTCGTTATAAAAAATCCTCGTGACAAACCTACTTTCGTAAAGGGTTGCCAGCGTTGCAAATTGAACGTGGTCTTAGAAAATGACCAACAAAAAACTACGGAGATAACAAACGGTCAAAACCTCATGAACAAATAAAATACAAACGCGCAAAGCGGAAAAATCGTGCAACAAATAACATCACCATCCTGGCTTTATACAACATCAACATAAGGCTTTAGACAACATTAACAACCATCCATGCTTTAGACAACATCAACAGACAGGATTTAGACAACATCACCCGACAGGCTTAAGACAACAACACCAGAGAAGCTTTAGACAACATCATCATCCATGCTTTAGACAAGCTTGGAATCCTAAAAAAAAATGTTGGTAAGCCAAACTAAACTTATGAAAGATCACTAGCTAGAGCACGAGGGACTAAACTTCGAGGAGTCGCCCTAAACAAGTACGGTGAACACATGCGGTAGCCTCTAGATGTTTGTAACAGTCTGTGACAATATTCTACAATGAGTCCAAGAGAATGATGATTTCACAATTGAACAATTATAGTCACTAAACAAAAGGAAATGAAATTATTTCTTTCACTTACTATATAAAAACAAAGTGAATATAAAAGCTGTCCTGAATTGGATTGTGAACATGCAGGCAAGTTTATCATTAATTTTTCTTGCCGAAGTGCGCAATTTACTCTTTCACCAAAGGGAAAACCATAGCCATCTCAATAATTCCGTATAAGTTTAAAATAACCAAACACTGACCTAGACTGACCACCGCCCTATATAAATTACATAATAAAGTGTTTAAATTAGATCGACCGCTTGCAGATACTATTCAAACTATTGCTGTGGATGTGGATTTGACTGTAGCAGTGTCGACCATGGTTACGGTAGAGATACAGAACATACCACAAACACAGGAATATAGCCTACCGCAGACACAGAAATTATCACGAACACAGAATATACTATAGAAACAAGGATAGAACTTACCCCAAACAAAATACGCAACCTGGTATCCAGCAAATTTCATGCTACCAGTCTGAAAAGAACAATGTAAATGTACGTAGTATCAGTAAGGGGGAAATATTACAACGTACGTACCTAAATGAACAATCTATGTTATATCATATAGGAGAGAGATTACATAGAGTTGACAAAAAGAACTACACAAACCCGACTAAGATATGTGTTACATCGCTTGTTACTCAAAATAAGGGGAGACTCATACCCGACGCTTCACGGGTTTCGGGAAATATATAGTTTTTAATTACATGTCTATGTGTAAAATGGACACTAGAAAATTTTTTAATAACAAGCTTTTATGTAATAATACACTAAATAGGAGAAAATAAATTATAGACTACTATTTAAATAACTATAAAGAAAAGATTTGGTCACTTTAGTATCTATTGGATACCTTTACTAATATTTAGGAAGAGACCCATGCTTTTCTTTATAGTTATTTAAATAGTAGTCTATAATTTATGTTCTCCGTTTTAGTTCATTTTTGCATAAAAGCTTGTTATTAAAACGTTTTTTAATTTTTAAAAATTGAATAGCCTACTATACATATTTTATTAATAATAGTGGTACATGACTAAAAAGCATTGCACACCTATTGAACGTGATGACGCCTATGGAACGTGATGACGCCTATGGAACGTGATGACGCGTGTCTAAAAGTGCGGAATAGTTAGATGAGACTTTGGAAAAAAATTTAATTAATTCATAAAAAATTAATCAGGCAAATTACGTCAAATTTAATGTCATGTTGCATTGTCTTCAAATACGAACCGTATCTGTCAGTTAGAAGTGCCTGCAATTTCGCTCGGGCGTTTCGATCTAGACAGACTGACGACTGACGACAGACAGAGGAAGGGAGTTAAATAAAAGCTTGTAAAAACCCATAACATAAAAATACAGTGATAAAGCTAAGAGATAAGTTGAGGGAACTTGCTAGCTACAAAGTGGACTACATTAGCATACCAAGTAGGATATCAAATCTAACCCAGAGCTATAATTTCATCATCTCAGTCCTTGATCACATTACAAGCAAATCTTGGTGCCGCCACTAACATGAAAGATATAGCTACTGTCCAACTTGTAAAACACCTAGTCAACCAGACACGCACTGTAGGAAACAAGTCAACAGAATGGAGAACTAGGTCAAGGGCAGCTGAGCAGAAGGCAACTCTAATCCAGAATTAAGTTACTAATCTTTTCAAAGAAACTAATGAGACTTTTATAATAGTTGAAGACTTTGATGTCAAGATAGCAGGTGCGAAACAAAAGCTGAACTCATCCAAAGAAAAAGTGTTGCCTGCGTTGGCTCTGAGTCAGGATCTGCTGGCCAAATGGGAGAACCTGAGTCAGACAAGACACCACAGCTTCAGACAAGACACCACAGCTTCAGACAAGCCAGCAAGACACCACAGCTTCAGACAAGCCAGCAAGACACCACAGCTTCAGACAAGACACCACAGCTTCAGACAAGACACCACAGCTTCAGACAAGACACCACAGCTTCAGACAAGACACCACAGCTTCAGACAAGCCAGTAAGACACCACAGCTTCAGACAAGACACTACAGCTTCAGACAAGCCAGCAAGACACCACAGCTTCAGACAAGACACCACAGCTTCAGACAAGACACTACAGCTTCAGACAAGACACCACAGCTTCAGACAAGACACCACAGCTTCAGACAAGCCAGTAAGACACCACAGCTTCAGGCAAGACACCACAGCTTCAGACAAGCCAGCAAGACACCACAGCTTCAGACAAGCCAGCAAGACACCACAGCTTCAGACAAGACACCACAGCTTCAGACAAGACACCACAGCTTCAGACAAGACACCACAGCTTCAGACAAGACACCACAGCTTCAGACAAGCCAGCAAGACACCACAGCTTCAGACAAGACACCACAGCTTCAGACAAGACACCACAGCTTCAGACAAGACACCACAGCTTCAGACAAGACACCACAGCTTCAGACAAGACACCACAGTTTCAGACAAGCCAGCAAGACACCACAGCTTCAGACAAGACACCACAGCTTCAGACAAGCCAGCAAGACACCACAGCTTCAGACAAGACACCACAGTTTCAGACAAGCCAGCAAGACACCACAGCTTCAGACAAGACACCACAGCTTCAGACAAGACACCACAGCTTCAGACCAGACACCACAGCTTCAGACAAGACACCACAGCTTCAGACAAGCCAGCAAGACACCACAGCTTCAGACAAGACACCACAGCTTCAGACAAGCCAGCAAGACACCACAGCTTCAGAAAAGCCAGCAAGACACCACAGCTTCAGACAAGACACCACAGCTTCAGACAAGCCAGCAAGACACCACAGCTTCAGAAAAGCCAGCAAGACACCACAGCTTCAGACAAGACACCACAGCTTCAGACAAGCCAGCAAGACACCACAGCTTCAGACAAGCCAGCAAGACACCACAGCTTCAGACAAGCCAGCAAGACACCACAGCTTCAGACAAGCCAGCAAGACACCACAGCTTCAGACAAGACACCACAGCTTCAGACAAGACACCACAGCTTCAGACAAGACACCACAGCTTCAGACAAGACACCACAGCTTCAGACAAGCCAGTAAGACACCACAGCTTCAGACAAGACACTACAGCTTCAGACAAGCCAGCAAGACACCACAGCTTCAGACAAGACACCACAGCTTCAGACAAGACACTACAGCTTCAGACAAGACACCACAGCTTCAGACAAGACACCACAGCTTCAGACAAGCCAGTAAGACACCACAGCTTCAGGCAAGACACCACAGCTTCAGACAAGCCAGCAAGACACCACAGCTTCAGACAAGCCAGCAAGACACCACAGCTTCAGACAAGACACCACAGCTTCAGACAAGACACCACAGCTTCAGACAAGACACCACAGCTTCAGACAAGACACCACAGCTTCAGACAAGCCAGCAAGACACCACAGCTTCAGACAAGACACCACAGCTTCAGACAAGACACCACAGCTTCAGACAAGACACCACAGCTTCAGACAAGACACCACAGCTTCAGACAAGACACCACAGTTTCAGACAAGCCAGCAAGACACCACAGCTTCAGACAAGACACCACAGCTTCAGACAAGCCAGCAAGACACCACAGCTTCAGACAAGACACCACAGTTTCAGACAAGCCAGCAAGACACCACAGCTTCAGACAAGACACCACAGCTTCAGACAAGACACCACAGCTTCAGACCAGACACCACAGCTTCAGACAAGACACCACAGCTTCAGACAAGCCAGCAAGACACCACAGCTTCAGACAAGACACCACAGCTTCAGACAAGCCAGCAAGACACCACAGCTTCAGAAAAGCCAGCAAGACACCACAGCTTCAGACAAGACACCACAGCTTCAGACAAGCCAGCAAGACACCACAGCTTCAGAAAAGCCAGCAAGACACCACAGCTTCAGACAAGACACCACAGCTTCAGACAAGCCAGCAAGACACCACAGCTTCAGACAAGCCAGCAAGACACCACAGCTTCAGACAAGCCAGCAAGACACCACAGCTTCAGACAAGCCAGCAAGACACCACAGCTTCAGACAAGACACCACAGCTTCAGACAAGCCAGCAAGACACCACAGCTTCAGACAAGACACCACAGCTTCAGACAAGACACCACAGCTTCAGACAAGCCAGCAAGACACCACAGCTTCAGACAAGTCAGCAAGACACCACAGCTTCAGACAAGCCAGCAAGACACCACAGCTTCAGACAAGACACCACAGCTTCAGACAAGCCAGCAAGACACCACAGCTTCAGACAAGACACCACAGCTTCAGACAAGACACCACAGCTTCAGACAAGACACCACAGCTTCAGACAAGACACCTAGCTTCAGACAAGCCAGCAAGACACCACAGCTTCAGACAAGACACCACAGCTTCAGACAAGCCAGCAAGACACCACAGCTTCAGACAAGACACCACAGCTTCAGACAAGACACCACAGCTTCAGACAAGCCAGCAAGACACCACAGCTTCAGACAAGTCAGCAAGACACCACAGCTTCAGACAAGCCAGCAAGACACCACAGCTTCAGACAAGACACCACAGCTTCAGACAAGCCAGCAAGACACCACAGCTTCAGACAAGACACCACAGCTTCAGACAAGACACCACAGCTTCAGACAAGACACCACAGCTTCAGACAAGACACCTAGCTTCAGACAAGCCAGCAAGACACCACAGCTTCAGACAAGACACCTAGCTTCAGACAAGCCAGCAAGACACCACAGCTTCAGACAAGACACCACAGCTTCAGACAAGCCAGCAAGACACCACAGCTTCAGACAAGACACCACAGCTTCAGACAAGACACCACAGCTTCAGACAAGCCAGCAAGACACCACAGCTTCAGACAAGTCAGCAAGACACCACAGCTTCAGACAAGCCAGCAAGACACCACAGCTTCAGACAAGACACCACAGCTTCAGACAAGCCAGCAAGACACCACAGCTTCAGACAAGACACCACAGCTTCAGACAAGACACCACAGCTTCAGACAAGACACCACAGCTTCAGACAAGACACCTAGCTTCAGACAAGCCAGCAAGACACCACAGCTTCAGACAAGACACCACAGCTTCAGACAAGACACCACAGCTTCAGACAAGACACCACAGCTTCAGACAAGACACCACAGCTTCAGACAAGACACCACAGTTTCAGACAAGCCAGCAAGACACCACAGCTTCAGACAAGACACCACAGCTTCAGACAAGCCAGCAAGACACCACAGCTTCAGACAAGATACCACAGCTTCAGACCAGACACCACAGCTTCAGACAAGACACCACAGCTTCAGACAAGCCAGCAAGACACCACAGCTTCAGACAAGACACCACAGCTTCAGACAAGCCAGCAAGACACCACAGCTTCAGAAAAGCCAGCAAGACACCACAGCTTCAGACAAGACACCACAGCTTCAGACAAGCCAGCAAGACACCACAGCTTCAGACAAGACACCACAGCTTCAGACAAGACACCACAGCTTCAGACAAGCCAGCAAGACACCACAGCTTCAGACAAGCCAGCAAGACACCACAGCTTCAGACAAGCCAGCAAGACACCACAGCTTCAGACAAGCCAGCAAGACACCACAGCTTCAGACAAGCCAGCAAGACACCACAGCTTCAGACAAGCCAGCAAGACACCACAGCTTCAGACAAGACACCACAGCTTCAGACAAGACACCACAGCTTCAGACAAGACACCACAGCTTCAGACAAGACACCTAGCTTCAGACAAGCCAGCAAGACACCACAGCTTCAGACAAGACACCACAGCTTCAGACAAGCCAGCAAGACACCACAGCTTCAGACAAGACACCACAGCTTCAGACAAGACACCACAGCTTCAGACAAGCCAGCAAGACACCACAGCTTCAGACAAGACACCACAGCTTCAGACAAGACACCACAGCTTCAGACAAGCCAGCAAGACACCACAGCTTCAGACAAGACACCACAGCTTCAGACAAGACACCACAGCTTCAGACAAGCCAGCAAGACACCACAGCTTCAGACAAGCCAGCAAGACACCACAGCTTCAGACAAGCCAGCAAGACACCACAGCTTCAGACAAGCCAGCAAGACACCACAGCTTCAGACAAGCCAGCAAGACACCACAGCTTCAGACAAGCCAGCAAGACACCACAGCTTCAGACAAGACACCACAGCTTCAGACAAGCCAGCAAGACACCACAGCTTCAGACAAGCCAGCAAGACACCACAGCTTCAGACAAGCCAGCAAGACACCACAGCTTCAGACAAGACACCACAGCTTCAGACAAGCCAGCAAGACACCACAGCTTCAGACAAGACACCACAGCTTCAGACAAGACACCACAGCTTCAGACAAGACACCACAGCTTCAGACCAGACACCACAGCTTCAGACAAGCCAGCAAGACACCACAGCTTCAGACAAGACACCACAGCTTCAGACAAGCCAGCAAGACACCACAGCTTCAGACAAGCCAGCAAGACACCACAGCTTCAGACAAGACACCACAGCTTCAGACAAGCCAGCAAGACACCACAGCTTCAGACAAGACACCACAGCTTTAGACAAGCCAGCAAGACACCACAGCTTTAGACAAGCCAGCAAGACACCACAGCTTCAGACAAGCCAGCAAGACACCACAGATGCCCAAATCAAGATAGTAAATGTCAACTCTCGGGCAGATGAGACGCGATAGCTGGGAACTGCAACTAACCAGGAGGTTGGTGTGGTCGGGTCGGATAAGCTCATTGTTGATGAACCGAAAAGTCCCGAGTTCGAACCCACCCAATAATGCTCGATAACCTCGATAACTGCTGTCTTGTGGTTTGTTCTTGGTTGGACAAAGCAACTCCAAAAAAAAAATGGAATACTGTTCCAAAATTAGAATAATGTACGAACTTATATTATATGAATAGCTTGTAGCTTTCATTCTGTCATCATTGACTAGATTTCTTTCAACATCTCTCACTTCATAAAACGAAGAAAAAGAAAAAACTTAGCGTTCATTGGACATTGTTAAACCTTTGTTTGATTGATAATGGTATATTGCTAACCACTGTTGATTACCTCTTCGCCATCTTTCTCATTAAGATGAGCAGTCGGTGTTAAATAACCAGTTGTTTTGACATGAATTTTTTTTTGTTTTGTTTTTTGACATGTATGGCTTTTTTGAAAAACCCGAAAAAGGAAATTGCTGTAAAAATAATTCTCATTCACAAAATGAAAAGAAGAAATCTTTTTTAAAGGGGGGGGGGGGGGTGACGGGGGGGTGACGTAGATGTCTATACGAAAATGTGTTGGCACGGCTAGAGATTGTGTGAGAGTGGCCGTGTCGCTATTCATATCCCTTACCAAATGTCCTACTGCAGTTATTTGGGCACAAACGCCAATCCATGTGAAGCCACTACGGTGACGTATATCTTTTAAATTACTAACGTGTATTGCAAACTAGCGTTCCCGTCTACGCGCGTTGCCGCGGGGTTAAAAAGAATGTCCCAGGATAGCCCGGGGCAAATCGCACCCTGCCGGGGCGCGGTCGGATTCAGTTTAGTGAACGACTATAATAACGACTATAATAACGACTATAATAAAGACTATAATAACGACTATAATAACGACTATAATAAAGACTATAATAACGACTATAATAACGACTATAATAAAGACTATAATAAAGACTATAATAACGACTATAATAACGACTATAATACTACTTCTTATCCATATTCTATCACACTCTTTAAAACGGACGTATGCGCCATAGCGCTACCAGGATAGCCCGGGGCGCCAGATTGCACCCTTTATGGCGTCAGCGAACGCGCCTGATTTAATTTGGTAAACGACTAAACGCCCTATCTTATCCATAGTCTGTCGCACTGTTTCAAACAACCCGGTGCTCCAAATTGCATCCTGCCGGGGCGCCACCCCTGCGAAATTAAAATATTTTTTTCGCATAAACCTCCCCAGGAGTATTCTCAACAACTTCCCAATGTTTCATGGCGGTCTGATGAAAGGTGTAGTAATGCATAAAAGCCAGACAGACACACACAGACACACACACACATACACAAACATTGCTTTTTACTTTCTCGTGGTGACAGGACAAATGATCTCAGGACAAATGATCTTAGGACAAATGATCTCAGGACAAATGATCTCAGGACAAATGATCTCAGGACAAATGATCTCAAGGACCAGACTTTAAACTAAAGGGGCATCACCAAGATGGATAAACACAAGGGACGTAAAAATAACCACTAAGACATAACGTAACAATAAGTACAAGGCTTGACAAATAGACTCACACAAAGAGAGACTGCTCCCATTTGTTCAGGAGCTGGAATAGTTGAGAAGTCCCCTCGGTACAGTGCGTAAAGATTTGTCCTAACAAGTCATACAAATCACAGGTTAAATCCATTTCAATCATAATTGTAAACAAACATGTGTACTCAGTTAATTAAGAGTAAAAACAATGGTTAAAGATTAAAGTCAAACAAAATTGTATTCCATCTCATTTCTAAACTGTGTGAACGGTGAGAGTAGCACTCCCCCCCCCGCCCCCCCCCCCCCCACACACACACAACCGATAGTCTGTGTAGTTTTCCAGCGATAGGAAGGCTGTAGCTGGGTGTTGACAAGAGAAAGGTGAGAAATTGTGATGTGATATTGTGATGTGATATTGTGATTTGATGTGATATTGTGGTGTTATATTGTGGTGTGATGTGATATTGTGATGTGATATTGTGGTATGATATTGTGATGTGATATTGTGATGTGATATTGTGATGTGATATTGCGATGTGATATTTCCGGTGTGATATTGTGACATGATATTGTGATGTGATATTGTGGTGTTATATTGTGGTGTGATGTGATATTGTGATGTGATATTGTGGTATGATATTGTGATGTGATATTGTGATGTGATATTGTGATGTGATATTGTGATGTGATGTGATATTGTGATGTGATATTGTGATGTGATAATGTGATGTGATATTGTGATGTGATGTGATATTGTGATGTGATATTGTGATGTGATATTGTGATGTGATATTGTGATGTGATATTGTGATGTGATATTGTGATGTGATATTGTGATGTGATATTGTGATGTGATATTGTGATGTGATATTGTGATGTGATATTGTGATGTGATATTGTGGTATGATATTGTGATGTGATATTGTGATGTGATATTGTGATGTGATATTGTTATGTGATATTTCCGGTGTGATATTGTGACATGATATTGTGATGTGATATTGTGGTGTGATAATGTGATGTGATATTGTGGTGTGATATTGTGGTGTGATATTGTGGTGTGATATTGTGATGTGATATTGTGATGTGATAATGTGGTATGATATTGTGATGTGATATTGTGATGTGATATTGTGGTGTGATATTGTGATGTGATATTGTGATGTGATAATGTGGTGTGATATTGTGATGTGATATTGTGGTATGATATTGTGATGTGATATTGTGATGTGATATTGTGGTATGATATTGTGATGTGATATTCTGGTGTGATGTGATATTGTGATGTGATATTGTGGTGTGATATTGTGGTGTGATATTGTGGTGTGATATTGTGGTGTGATATTGTGGTGTGATATTGTGGTGTGATATTGTGATGTAATATTGTGGTGTGATATTGTGATGTGATATTGTGATGTGATATTGTGATGTGATATTGTGGTGTGATATTGTGATGTGATATTGTGATGTGATATTGTGGTGTGATATTGTGATGTGATATTGTGATGTGATAATGTGATGTGATATTGTGGTGTGATGTGATATTGTGATTTGATGTGATATTGTGGTGTGATATTGTGATGTGATATTGTGGTGTGATATTGTGGTGTGATATTGTGGTGTGATATTGTGGTGTGATATTGTGGTGTGATATTGTGATGTGATGTGATATTGTGATGTGATAATGTGGTGTGATATTGTGATGTGATATTGTGGTGTGATATTGTGGTATGATATTGTGGTATGATATTGTGATGTGATATTGTGATGTGATATTGTGATGTGATATTGTGATGTGGTGTGATATTGTGGTATGATATTGTGATGTGATATTGTGATGTGATATTGTGGTATGATATTGTGATGTGATATTGTGATGTGATATTGTGGTATGATATTGTGATGTGATATTGTGATGTGATATTGTGATGTGATATTGTGGTGTGATATTGTGATGTTATATTGTGGTATGATATTGTGATGTGATATTGTGGTATGATATTGTGATGTGATATTCTGGTGTGATGTGATATTGTGATGTGATATTCTGGTGTGATGTGATATTGTGATGTGATATTGTGGTGTGATATTGTGGTGTGATATTGTGGTGTGATATTGTGGTGTGAAATTGTGGTGTGATATTGTGGTGTGATATTGTGGTGTGATATTGTGGTGTGATATTGTGGTGTGATATTGTGGTGTGATATTGTGGTGTGATATTGTGGTGTGATTTTTTCTCTAGTAAAGTAATTTTTAATTAGCACTACAACGATGGGATTGTTTCATGATTGAGGTTTTGGTCTTCGCTCAACATGCCCAAACTTCAGATAGCAAATTATGTCCTGAACCACTTTATTCAAAATCTTAGTCCCGCTTAGGAACAGCGTGGTTTTAAGCAACAAGGTAACAAATCTCAACACAAACCCGTGTTAAACATTTCAACCTACTCGTGTTACTCCTAAAGAAACCTTTAAGCAACCTTGTACCAACCTGAAGGATGACATCATGTGAAGTATGGTGAAGAAACTCAGTGTACATGCCAGTATAAGTGCGATGATTAGGGAATCTAAATGTTTTAAAAACAACATATGTGTAGTTTACATTAATAAAAGACCGAATATCTAAGGAAGCATTTCAAAAGTATTACTTGAATTATTCGTATGTCATATTTTTCCCCAAATGTTGTAGATGTGTCGTGCATGTATATATTCACCAAAATGTTGTAGATGTACTATCCTGTATATATTTACCCAAATGTTGTAGATGTACTATCCTGTATATATTCACCAAAATGTTGTAGATGTACTATCCTGTATATATTCACCAAAATGTTGTAGATGTACTATCCTGTATATATTCACCAAAATGTTGTAGATGTACTATCCTGTATATATTTACCCAAATGTTGTAGATGTACTATCCTGTATATATTTACCAAAATGTTGTAGATGTACTATCCTGTATATATTTACCCAAATGTTGTAGATGTACTATCCTGTATATATTTACCAAAATGTTGTAGATGTACTATCCTGTATATATTTACCCAAATGTTGTAGATGTACTATCCTGTATATATTTACCCAAATGTTGTAGATGTACTATCCTGTATATATTTACCAAAATGTTGTAGATGTACTATCCTGTATATATTTACCAAAATGTTGTAGATGTACTATCCTGTATACATTTACCCAAATGTTGTAGATGTACTATCCTGTATATATTTACCAAAATGTTGTAGATGTACTATCCTGTATATATTTACCCAAATGTTGTAGATGTACTATCCTGTATATATTTACCAAAATGTTGTAGATGTACTATCCTGTATATATTTACCCAAATGTTGTAGATGTACTATCCTGTATATATTTACCAAAATGTTGTAGATGTACTATCCTGTATATATTTACCAAAATGTTGTAGATGTACTATCCTGTATATATTTACCAAAATGTTGTAGATGTACTATCCTGTATATATTTACCCAAATGTTGTAGATGTACTATCCTGTATATATTTACCAAAATGTTGTAAATGTACTATCCTGTATATATTTACCAAAATGTTGTAGATGTACTATCCTGTATAATTATATTTACCCAAATGTTGTAGATGTACTATCCTGTATATATTTACCAAAATGTTGTAGATGTACTATCCTGTATATATTTACCCAAATGTTGTAGATGTACTATCCTGTATATATTCACCAAAATGTTGTAGATGTACTATCCTGTATATATTCACCAAAATGTTGTAGATGTACTATCCTGTATATATTTACCAAAATGTTGTAAATGTACTATCCTGTATATATTTACCAAAATGTTGTAGATGTACTATCCTGTATATATTTACCAAAATGTTGTAGATGTACTATCCTGTATATATTTACCAAAATGTTGTAGATGTACTATCCTGTATATATTTACCTAATGCCTAATCCTCCCTAAACAGAGTTTCTCTAAGGGATCTTTTCCGGGGTAGGGGGTGGGGGTTGTGGTACAACCACTCCCAACCCCCATCCTCCCGAAAAATTAAAATGTCCGCCGGAGAAAAAGTCTGAAAGTGACACCGTCCCTAACCCTAACCCTAACCCTAGCCGATCGCCTTAAAGGCAATCCTTTATGGAAACGCTAAAGCCTTAACCTAACCCACATCCCTTTAAATGTTCAAAAGCTTTTAGTTACGAAGTAAAAAAAAAAAAAGAAAAAAACATAGAGCTCAAAGGAATGGAACCCACGCCACGAAAACAAAAAAACTGACTCATATGCAAGGTGACTTCGACCACTGAACAAATATTAAACCGACGAAAAAGTGCATGTTATAAGCAAAGAATACTATTCCACTAGAACTACATATACTAGTATATGTAAAAGCGAATATGTGGAGCGCAAAATGAAGAATTAAAACTGTATCAAGTACAGTTTAACCTACAGAACACCTCAATATATATAAACCTAGCCTTCCTACCCCCCCCCCCCTTCCCACACAGCCACTCCCACACATACACCCACACGCAACCACACAAAAACGACCAAAAATGCAATGTTGAATAAAATGTTGAATGCTTGAGAAAGTCTAGCACTAGTGGCTTACATTTGATGGTTCTCGCGGCGTAGTAGGCGAATAAAGAACCTTTTCTGAGGAGGGTGGTGGCTGTGTCCTCCCCCAGCACGGGGGTCCCAACCAATAGCATCCAGCTCAGCCGTCAGCACGTCCAGGATGTTCCCAAAGAGGGAAAAAAAGTAGGCTGTCAGCTCAACTGTCAACTAGAAATAAAAGTAGGCTGTCAGCTCTACTGTCAACTAGAAATAAAAGTAGGCTGTCAGCTCAACTGTCAACTAGAAATAAAAGTAGGCTGTCAGAATACTGTCAACTAGAAATAAAAGTAGGCTGTCAGCTCTACTGTCAACTAGAAATAAAAGTAGGCTGTCAGCTCTACTGTCAACTAGAAATAAAAGTAGGCTGTCAGCTCTACTGTCAACTAGAAATAAAAGTAGGCTGTCAGCTCTACTGTCAACTAGAAATAAAAGTAGGCTGTCAGCTCTGCTGTCAACTAGAAATAAAAGTAGGCTGTCAGAATTCTGTCAAGTAGAAATAAAAGTAGGCTGTCAGCTCTACTGTCAACTAGAAATAAAAGTAGGCTGTCAGCTCTACTGTCAACTAGAAATAAAAGTAGGCTGTCAGCTCTACTGTCAACTAGAAATAAAAGTAGGCTGTCAGCTCTACTGTCAACTAGAAATAAAAGTAGGCTGTCAGCTCTACTGTCAACTAGAAATAAAAGTAGGCTGTCAGCTCTACTGTCAACTAGAAATAAAAGTAGGCTGTCAGCTCTACTGTCAACTAGAAATAAAAGTATGCTGTCAGCTCTACTGTCAACTAGAAATAAAAGTATGCTGTCAGCTCTACTGTCAACTAGAAATAAAAGTATGCTGTCAGCTCTACTGTCAACTAGAAATAAAAGTATGCTGTCAGCTCTACTGTCAACTAGAAATAAAAGTAGGCTGTTAGCTCTACTGTCAACTAGAAATAAAAGTAGGCTGTTAGCTCTAATGTCAACTAGAAATAAAAGTAGGCTGTTAGCTCTACTGTCAACTAGAAATAAAAGTAGGCTGTTAGCTCTACTGTCAACTAGAAATAAAAGTAGGCTGTCAGCTCTACTGTCAACTAGAAATAAAAGTAGGCTGTCAGCTCAACTGTCAACTAGAAATAAAAGTAGGCTGTAAGCTCTACTGTCAACTAGAAATAAAAGTAGGCTGTCAGCTCTACTGTCAACTAGAAATAAAAGTAGGCTGTTAGCTCTAATGTCAACTAGAAATAAAAGTATGCTGTTAGCTCTACTGTCAACTAGAAATAAAAGTAGGCTGTAAGCTCTACTGTCAACTAGAAATAAAAGTATGCATGCTTGTGTGTTGTGTGTGGTGCGTGTGTGCTGAGGTGTGTGTATGGGCGTGCGTGCATGTGTGTGTCGGGTAATCAAGTATGATGTTGTCTCACCACATAGACCACGCAAGCAGCCACAAACATAACCGCCAATAAGCGAGATGGGTAGCGGAACCCTGGGGAAAATAGTTCAAAAATTTTTTTTTTAAATATCTTTTTCAGAGTTGATACAACAGTTTTAAAATTTCAAGTTGCTTTTTTTAAGGATTTTTTTATGAGTGACATTAAAATCAGTAGTAAAATATTATATAATACTATTTCCATCATAAGAATAATTAAAATACAGAGGCGTAGCGAGGGGAAGGGTGCGGGCCGCACCGGGTGACACCAATTAGGGCGTGGGTGTGACACCAAAGCAAAAAACAGCAGAATATTCATTCCAGTTAATAAAAGATTAATTAGAGTTAAATAGACTTTTAAGAGCGAAGTTGACAAGTCCCAACACGGGTAAGGAGGGGGAATGACACAATGACGAAAACCTGCTACATCTAGCTGTATCAATAACGACTATCGATAAACATCGTTAGTATTATCTGAGCACAGTTTATATCTATCAGGGGGGGGGGGGGGGGGGGGCTACATCAACTAAACGTTGCAAAATTTGCGTGAGGAAAAAGGTTTCGTTGAGAATTGTAATGACTTGTTATGTCAATCCACGTCTGGGATTGGGGTGACACCAACTTTTACAATTTACTACCAAAAAAAAATGCTTTTTGCAATTGAATTGTTAACTATTAGAGTTTGGCCCTGCTTTTTCTAGTTGGATTAATATAATGTTTGCAGGAATTGACACCATTCGACAAAAAGTCAGTGGGGTGACACCAAATAGAATGTCCCCATAAGTGGATTGGGGTGAAACCACATAGGACATTTACAAATAGGCATATCATTTGATAAAGAAAATTATTATACAACAGCCTACGCGTGTGTGTGTGTATTTATACGTGTGTGTGTGTAGTGTGTGACGCCAGTAGAACAATAGCTGCACATTTGATAGTGCTTAAGTAATTTTGCCTTGTGTCGATGTTTTTACTTTTTCCTTTTATTATATTGATTTGTTATCCATGATTTGTGATACGTTTAATGGGTTATTTTTCTATTCTATTAAAAGTAGTGTGCTATATGGCTAAAATCAATGTATATCTTTTGCACGAATTTGTGTCATTGTTATAAATATTTTCTCAATATGTAATAAGTTAAAAGAAAACATTTTGTTTTTTATTTAAAAGTGCGTGTTACAAAATAACACAACTTTGAAAAGTAATAATCCATTGTAAATAAATTGTTTTATTCATTTTCCAATACATTAAAATTTGAAGGACAAATTTCAGTCTAAAGTGCGTAGCTTCAAAAAAAGATTTGCATACAACCAGGAAAAAAAGATTCATTTGAATACATTATACACATACTTACAAAGGTATATGGAATATATATATATATATATATATATATATATATATATATATATATATATATATATATATATATATATATATATATATATATATATATATATGTATATACCAAAACAAATTTCTTTCAGGGGGGGGGGACACACCAATAGGTGCCGCACCGGGTGACACCCGACCTTGCTACGCCACTATAATATCAAACCTTTTTCTCTATGGTATATCCAGACCTGTAGTTTGCTGATGATGATTTTTTCGATAACGTTTACAAGTCCAACTGGTTCTCTGCTCGGAAGTAAAGAATGGGATAACCACAAGAAGACTTACAATACATTTACTATTCTAAGACAAATATTCAAGTAACACAACTCTAAGAAAACATTAACCATAACTCTATTTTTAAGTACGTTAGATTTAAAGATGTATTGTAAGAATCCTACACTTCGAAAACCTTCGACAACATATTTAGTTCACAAAACCCGGCGTGCTATGTCGTATAAGTATAAGCTAAACTATGTGTGGACGGTAGACAGAGAAGCTAAACTATGTGTGGACAGTATACAGAGAAGCTAAACTATGTGTGGACAGTATACAGAGAAGCTAAACTAAGATTAGACAGAGAAGCTAAACTATGTGTGGACGGTGGACAGAGAAGCTAAACTATGTGTGGACAGTATACAGAGAAGCTAAACTATGTGTGGACAGCATACAGAGAAGCTAAACTAAGATTAGACAGAGAAGCTAAACTAAGATTAGACAGAGAAGCTAAACTATGTGTGGACAGTATACAGAGAAGCTAAACTATGTGTGGACAGTATACAGAGAAGCTAAACTAAGATTAGACAGAGAAGCTAAACTATGTGTGGACGGTGGACAGAGAAGCTAAACTATGTGTGGACAGTATACAGAGAAGCTAAACTATGTGTGGACAGCATACAGAGAAGCTAAACTAAGATTAGACAGAAAAGCTAAACTAAGATTAGACAGAGAAGCTAAACTAAGATTAGACAGAGAAGCTAAACTAAGATTAGACAGAGAAGCTAAACTAAGATTAGACAGAGAAGCTAAACTAAGATTAGACAGAGAAGCTAAACTAAGATTAGACAGAGAAGCTAAACTATGTGTGGACAGTATACAGAGAAGCTAAACTATGTGTGGACAGTATACAGAGAAGCTAAATTATGTGTGGACAGTATACAGAGAAGCTAAACTATGTGTGGACAGTAGACAGAGAAGCTAAACTATGTGTGGACAGTATACAGAGAAGCTAAATTATGTGTGGACAGTATACAGAGAAGCTAAACTATGTGTGGACAGTATACAGAGAAGCTAAACTATGTGTGGACAGTAGACAGAGAAGCTAAACAATGTGTGGACAGCATACAGAGAAGCTAAACTAAGATTAGACAGAGAAGCTAAACTATGTGTGGACAGTAGACAGAGAAGCTAAACTATGTGTGGACAGCATACAGAGAAGCTAAACTAAGATTAGACAGAGAAGCTAAACTAAGATTAGACAGAGAAGCTAAACTAAGATTAGACAGAGAAGCTAAACTAAGATTAGACAGAGAAGCTAAACTAAGATTAGACAGAGAAGCTAAACTAAGATTAGACAGAGAAGCTAAACTAAGTGTGGACAGAGAAGCTAAACTAAGATTAGACAGAGAAGCTAAACTAAGATTAGACAGAGAAGCTAAACTATGTGTGGACGGTGGACAGAGAAGCTAAACTATGTGTGGACAGTATACAGAGAAGCTAAACTATGTGTGGACAGCATACAGAGAAGCTAAACTAAGATTAGACAGAGAAGCTAAACTATGTGTGGACAGTAGACAAAGAAGCTAAACTATGTGTGGACAGTATACAGAGAAGCTAAACTAAGATTAGACAGAGAAGCTAAACTAAGATTAGACAGAGAAGCTAAACTATGTGTGGACAGTAGACAGAGAAGCTAAACTATGTGTGGACAGCATACAGAGAAGCTAAACTAAGATTAGACAGAGAAGCTAAACTATGTGTGGACAGTATACAGAGAAGCTAAACTATGTGTGGACAGCATACAGAGAAGCTAAACTAAGATTAGACAGAGAAGCTAAACTAAGATTAGACAGAGAAGCTAAACTAAGATTAGACAGAGAAGCTAAACTAAGATTAGACAGAGAAGCTAAACTAAGATTAGACAGAGAAGCTAAACTAAGATTAGACAGAGAAGCTAAACTATGTGTGGACAGTATACAAAGAAGCTAAACTATGTGTGGACAGTATACAGAGAAGCTAAACTATGTGTGGACAGTAGACAGAGAAGCTAAACTATGTGTGGACAGTATACAGAGAAGCTAAACTATGTGTGGACAGCATACAGAGAAGCTAAACTAAGATTAGACAGAGAAGCTAAACTATGTGTGGACAGTAGACAGAGAAGCTAAACTATGTGTGGACAGCATACAGAGAAGCTAAACTAAGATTAGACAGAGAAGCTAAACTAAGATTAGACAGAGAAGCTAAACTAAGATTAGACAGAGAAGCTAAACTAAGATTAGACAGAGAAGCTAAACTAAGATTAGACAGAGAAGCTAAACTATGTGTGGACGGTGGACAGAGAAGCTAAACTATGTGTGGACAGTAGACAGAGAAGCTAAACTATGTGTGGACAGTATACAGAGAAGCTAAACTAAGATTAGACAGAGAAGCTAAACTATGTGTGGACAGTAGACAGAGAAGCTAAACTATGTGTGGACAGTATACAGAGAAGCTAAACTAAGATTAGACAGAGAAGCTAAACTATGTGTGGACAGTATACAGAGAAGCTAAACTATGTGTGGACAGTAGACAAAGAAGCTAAACTATGTGTGGACAGTATACAGAGAAGCTAAACTATGTGTGGACAGCATACAGAGAAGCTAAACTAAGATTAGACAGAGAAGCTAAACTATGTGTGGACGGTGGACAGAGAAGCTAAACTATGTGTGGACAGTAGACAGAGAAGCTAAACTATGTGTGGACAGTATACAGAGAAGCTAAACTATGTGTGGACAGTAGACAGAGAAGCTAAACTATGTGTGGACAGTATACAGAGAAGCTAAACTATGTGTGGACAGCATACAGAGAAGCTAAACTATGTGTGGACAGTATACAGAGAAGCTAAACTATGTGTGGACAGCATACAGAGAAGCTAAACTATGTGTGGACAGCATACAGAGAAGCTAAACTAAGATTAGACAGAGAAGCTAAACTATGTGTGGACGGTGGACAGAGAAGCTAAACTATGTGTGGACAGTAGACAGAGAAGCTAAACTATGTGTGGACAGTATACAGAGAAGCTAAACTATGTGTGGACAGTAGACAGAGAAGCTAAACTATGTGTGGACAGTATACAGAGAAGCTAAACTAAGATTAGACAGAGAAGCTAAACTATGTGTGGACGGTGGACAGAGAAGCTAAACTATGTGTGGACAGTAGACAGAGAAGCTAAACTATGTGTGGACAGTATACAGAGAAGCTAAACTATGTGTGGACAGTAGACAGAGAAGCTAAACTATGTGTGGACAGTATACAGAGAAGCTAAACTATGTGTGGACAGCATACAGAGAAGCTAAACTAAGATTAGACAGAGAAGCTAAACTATGTGTGGACGGTGGACAGAGAAGCTAAACTATGTGTGGACAGTAGACAGAGAAGCTAAACTATGTGTGGACAGTATACAGAGAAGCTAAACTATGTGTGGACAGTAGACAGAGAAGCTAAACTATGTGTGGACAGTAGACAGAGAAGCTAAACTATGTGTGGACAGTAGACAGAGAAGCTAAACTATGTGTGGACAGTATACAGAGAAGCTAAACTAAGATTAGACAGAGAAGCTAAACTAAGATTAGACAGAGAAGCTAAACTAAGACTAGACAGAGAAGCTAAACTAAGATTAGACAGAGAAGCTAAACTATGTGTGGACAGTAGACAGAGAAGCTAAACTATGTGTGGACAGTATACAGAGAAGCTAAACTATGTGTGGACAGCATACAGAGAAGCTAAACTAAGATTAGACAGAGAAGCTAAACTAAGATTAGACAGAGAAGCTAAACTAAGATTAGACAGAGAAGCTAAACTAAGATTAGACAGAGAAGCTAAACTAAGATTAGACAGAGAAGCTAAACTAAGATTAGACAGAGAAGCTAAACTAAGATTAGACAGAGAAGCTAAACTAAGATTAGACAGAGAAGCTAAACTAAGATTAGACAGAGAAGCTAAACTAAGATTAGACAGAGAAGCTAAACTAAGATTAGACAGAGAAGCTAAACTATGTGTGGACGGTGGACAGAGAAGCTAAACTATGTGTGGACAGCATACAGAGAAGCTAAACTAAGATTAGACAGAGAAGCTAAACTATGTGTGGACAGCATACAGAGAAGCTAAACTATGTGTGGACAGTATACAGAGAAGCTAAACTATGTGTGGACAGTAGACAAAGAAGCTAAACTATGTGTGGACAGCATACAGAGAAGCTAAACTATGTGTGGACAGTATACAGAGAAGCTAAACTATGTGTGGACAGTAGACAAAGAAGCTAAACTATGTGTGGACAGTATACAGAGAAGCTAAACTATGTGTGGACAGTAGACAGAGAAGCTAAACTATGTGTGGACAGTATACAGAGAAGCTAAACTATGTGTGGACAGTAGACAAAGAAGCTAAACTATGTGTGGACAGTATACAGAGAAGCTAAACTATGTGTGGACAGTATACAGAGAAGCTAAACTATGTGTGGACAGTAGACAGAGAAGCTAAACTATGTGTGGACAGTATACAGAGAAGCTAAACTATGTGTGGACAGCATACAGAGAAGCTAAACTAAGATTAGACAGAGAAGCTAAACTAAGATTAGACAGAGAAGCTAAACTAAGATTAGACAGAGAAGCTAAACTAAGATTAGACAGAGAAGCTAAACTAAGATTAGACAGAGAAGCTAAACTAAGATTAGACAGAGAAGCTAAACTAAGATTAGACAGAGAAGCTAAACTAAGATTAGACAGAGAAGCTAAACTAAGATTAGACAGAGAAGCTAAACTAAGATTAGACAGAGAAGCTAAACTATGTGTGGACGGTGGACAGAGAAGCTAAACTATGTGTGGACAGTATACAGAGAAGCTAAACTATGTGTGGACAGCATACAGAGAAGCTAAACTAAGATTAGACAGAGAAGCTAAACTATGTGTGGACAGTATACAGAGAAGCTAAACTATGTGTGGACAGTAGACAAAGAAGCTAAACTATGTGTGGACAGTAGACAGAGAAGCTAAACTATGTGTGGACAGCATACAGAGAAGCTAAACTAAGATTAGACAGAGAAGCTAAACTATGTGTGGACGGTGGACAGAGAAGCTAAACTATGTGTGGACAGTAGACAGAGAAGCTAAACTATGTGTGGACAGTAGACAAAGAAGCTAAACTATGTGTGGACAGTAGACAGAGAAGCTAAACTATGTGTGGACAGTATACAGAGAAGCTAAACTATGTGTGGACAGCATACAGAGAAGCTAAACTAAGATTAGACAGAGAAGCTAAACTATGTGTGGACAGTAGACAGAGAAGCTAAACTATGTGTGGACAGTAGACAGAGAAGCTAAACTATGTGTGGACAGTAGACAAAGAAGCTAAACTATGTGTGGACAGTATACAGAGAAGCTAAACTAAGATTAGACAGAGAAGCTAAACTAAGATTAGACAGAGAAGCTAAACTATGTGTGGACAGAGAAGCTAAACTAAGATTAGACAGAGAAGCTAAACTAAGATTAGACAGAGAAGCTAAACTAAGATTAGACAGAGAAGCTAAACTATGTGTGGACGGTGGACAGAGAAGCTAAACTATGTGTGGACAGTAGACAGAGAAGCTAAACTATGTGTGGACAGTAGACAAAGAAGCTAAACTATGTGTGGACAGCATACAGAGAAGCTAAACTAAGATTAGACAGAGAAGCTAAACTAAGATTAGACAGAGAAGCTAAACTAAGATTAGACAGAGAAGCTAAACTATGTGTGGACGGTGGACAGAGAAGCTAAACTATGTGTGGACAGTAGACAGAGAAGCTAAACTATGTGTGGACAGTAGACAAAGAAGCTAAACTATGTGTGGACAGTATACAGAGAAGCTAAACTATGTGTGGACAGCATACAGAGAAGCTAAACTAAGATTAGACAGAGAAGCTAAACTATGTGTGGACGGTGGACAGAGAAGCTAAACTATGTGTGGACAGTAGACAGAGAAGCTAAACTATGTGTGGACAGTATACAGAGAAGCTAAACTATGTGTGGACAGTAGACACAGAAGCTAAACTATGTGTGGACAGTAGACAGAGAAGCTAAAATATGTGTGGACAGTATACAGAGAAGCTAAACTAAGATTAGACAGAGAAGCTAAACTATGTGTGGACAGTATACAGAGAAGCTAAACTATGTGTGGACAGCATACAGAGAAGCTAAACTAAGATTAGACAGAGAAGCTAAACTATGTGTGGACAGTAGACAGAGAAGCTAAACTATGTGTGGACAGTAGACAGAGAAGCTAAACTATGTGTGGACAGTAGACAAAGAAGCTAAACTAAGATTAGACAGAGAAGCTAAACTATGTGTGGACAGTAGACAGAGAAGCTAAACTATGTGTGGACAGTATACAGAGAAGCTAAACTATGTGTGGACAGTATACAGAGAAGCTAAACTATGTGTGGACAGTAGACACAGAAGCTAAACTATGTGTGGACAGTAGACAGAGAAGCTAAAATATGTGTGGACAGTATACAGAGAAGCTAAACTAAGATTAGACAGAGAAGCTAAACTAAGATTAGACAGAGAAGCTAAACTAAGATTAGACAGAGAAGCTAAACTAAGATTAGACGGAGAAGCTAAATTAAGATTAGACAGAGAAGCTAAACTAAGATTAGACGGAGAAGCTAAACTAAGATTAGACAGAGAAGCTAAACTAAGATTAGAAGGAGAAGCTAAATTAAGATTAGACAGAGAAGCTAAACTAAGATTAGACGGAGAAGCTAAACTAAGATTAGACAGAGAAGCTAAACTAAGATTAGACAGAGAAGCTAAACTAAGATTAGACGGAGAAGCTAAACTTAGATTAGACAGAGAAGCTAAACTAAGATTAGATGGAGAAGCTAAACTAAGATTAGACAGAGAAGCTAAACTAAGATTAGACAGAGAAGCTAAACTAAGATTAGAGAGAGAAGCTAAACTAAGATTAGACGGAGAAGCTAAACAAAAGCTTACATGACAGGATCTGGTTTCCTCAGTAACTTCCGCACGTGTTGCCCCTGGAAGGAGGCGCGAATTTCCTTCATGGTCTCGTCTGGTGGCCTCTCGCCCAGGTCTGTGGTGACGTAATTCTTGTGATAGATAGCCAAAGCGAATCGGATGGGGAGAGCTACACTTAGGTAGCCCAGACAACCGAGGCTTGGTAGCATGCGAATAAACAAAACAGCTCGGCCAGCCTGCAACAATCGAGATGACTGTATTAACCGTCATCATAATCAACCTTTATCTTTTTACAAGATTTTACTTAGTTCACAATGTCCGTTAGGGTTAGTGTAGGTAGTCCAACATGAAAGAACTTTTAATTGTAACCTCTATGCCGCAAATTTTATAAAAATATCTCAATAAATAAAAAAGTTATGCGATTTTTAAAAAAGCAAAATTTGGTAAAAAACTGATTTTCAAAAAGTGCCATTTTTGAGAACCCATATTTTCTAAACTAAATAACATAGAAGTGTAGAAATTGGTAAAGTTACTGCAAAGTTTGTAATATATATGCCCAATTTTTTTCAGTCATCTAAAATGAGTCTTTCTAAGGTAAAAAAATAATTGAAAATGACAAAAATGCGTTTTGGTCACTTTTATTTTCATAAAAAAAAAAAAAAAAAAAATCAAATTTTTTTTTTTTTGCTTTGGACATTGAATAACTCTAAAACTATTGTGTTGGTAACATTAACAGGAAGAATGTGTTCATTATTTTCAAAAATCACATGAGTTAAAATATTATTTTTAAAAAATGCCACAGTTATCTAGTGCAGGAGAAATAGAATCAAAATTTAGTGGAGTAATATAATGTAATCTAATAAAGACGTGATGCCTACAAGTGATGTAGCAGTTGATGCTACATTCAAACCTATCGGGTTGATAACTGCTTTGGGGGAACAGTTTTTAAAACCACAACTCCACATCTTTATATGTCTTGTTTCCCTCAACCTTGATCTTGTGGAGCATCAAGAGCAAGTGATATGTTTTGGGAACTGTAGGGGGGAGGGGGCTTGGCCTTCTTCCCTTCCCTTGTAAGGAAAGTTCTGGATAGGCCACCATAAATGTCTCCAGCTATGGAATAAATAATTTATTTAGTGATTAATAAAATATATTTAAATTTACTACTAGCCTATTTGTCCTATGACTAGCTGGAAACATGAAAAAGCCTGAAAATACCATTTTGTTAAAGGTAATTTATACTTGATAGTATATTTTTAATATTAATTCTATTGCATGAAATATTCGTTGTTTGTGCCACAATGGTTGAGATATCCAATGATGAAGGTGCCATACTGTGGTTCTCAACATCCTATAGGACAACTTAACTGTCCTTCATTGTTACTACTATATGCATATAAAATAAATAAATAATGAGAAATACTACTATTACTACTTACACTTACAACTAATATAACATTTAAAACTAAGTCACAACATGTACAATCTTAATAAATTACCATCTAAAAATTGATCTGGTACATTTTATTAAGGAGACTGGCGCAGACCATTTCACATTATTCAGCAGGGGAATCAGAATCAGAGTGCACAACAGAAAATAAAAAATTAATCACATTAGTCCTTAAAAATTAGTGTCTTTTGTTTTAAATAAATTAATAAAAATGTAGAGTTATTATAATTATAAATTTCTTTTGTGTTTCATTAATATTTTATAAGTATTTAACCTTCGTTCCCTGTAAATAATTGAGTTCGTCCACATGGTAACCAAAATTGTCTGGTGGCCATTTTGAATTTGTCGATTCATAATTTTGACGTGATAGTCCAGATAAACTGTAGTAATACGACCCTATCATTAATCCCATTCGATAGATTTTAAAGAATTAGTAAACACTAGCATCTAATAGTTAAGCGCATCCATATTTTAAGTCCCTAGAATGTCCTGAATTAAATAGCTTCACGTTTAAACACACCATGTGTACAAGCGTAGTTCACGCGCTAAAACCGTGGACTAGTAGGGTTCAAATTTACATTAATAACGTGTGCTAATTAAACCAAACTGACATTCAAACTTAAAATTCATTTATTAAAATGGAAATGAAACTTTAAAAATGATACTTACAACTTGTTTGAAGGCTCTAGCAAGGGTAAAATCCGTTTAGCATCATCGGTCGTCAACCTTTAAAACCGTTCGGCGAGCAACTTACTCGGGGCTGAAAGTCGACTCGAGGGTTATATGTTTATTGGGGGTACGGCTTCGCGACCGTAAATCAGAAATACTTGAATTTACAACACAAAGTAGTTATAAAACTGAACTTTACATCGGTGTAAAAATTGAAACAGAATTAGTTTGTTTTCGTGTATATATCGTCATTTAAAGTTTAAAAACTGATTTTTTAAAATGAAATAAGCAAGTTATTTTTTCAATTTATACATCAAACGATAGACTAGAATTCGCTCTTTAAAATGACATTAAGATTATGCTTCTACGATGCTTCGTCGCGAAGCCGCAACCAAATGAAACAGTGTGGGGTCGATCGGTACACGCAAAACGGTGAAATTTGTTGACGTAACTGATACTTTTCAAACAAATATAAAACACATTCAAACATGTGTTACAGATATAAAAATACCAGATTACGACAGATAAAGGCTTAAACTTTATTGACATATAATTTTTATTCTTATAGGACAACTAGAAGTAGTGAAATTTTATTTTTGAAAACCGCAAAAACTGACCCTAAAACGCACTTTTTCGCCAGTTTGGACTACCTAGTTAGTGGTAAAATTTGTAACTCTTTTTTTTTTATAAATTCGTCTTCGATGACAACGAGAGAATAACTATTTTTTGAATTAATTAGAAGATAAATTAGTCTTTGAATATTAATTAAAATATTTCGAAGCAAAGTGGATAAAAAAAGATTCAGAACTGGCTAACTCTTGATCAGCTTGTTGTCGTACATAAACTGTTATTTGTCACGGATCATTGCTTTTACGGTACGGCTACGGACGTTGAGGATGGGCAGATGATGGTCTTTTTTTTAGAGATGACGAGCTACTTGTCGTTTTAAAGATAGGTACCACCACAATTTATCATACACAAACACATTTTTAGTTCTTTGTTTATTTAATTAAATGAACCTATTATAAACATTTTCTGCCAAATTATTTTCTAAAATTGTTGATTAAGATTGATGTAATTTACTTTTTAAATAACCATGGTTACGCGATATTTTATCTTATTAAAAATACTTAATTTTTATTAATTTTTATTAATTTTTTACCAATTATCAAATTTTAATACATTTTTAGTAATCGGGTGAAGCTTGGTTTTAATCCTTGATTAATATTATTTCCAATATAACACCTGTTATTTATCGCGAATTAATAAACTTCTTTGGAAAAATTTTAACCAATCAGAGAGCTCTGAGACCTCATGCACGAGTTTTCAAAAAGTTACAAAGCTATGTGGTTAAAACGGCATACATATCTTAATTATGTACCATTCTTGAAATTGTACCATTTTTATTCAGATATTTTTAAAATATTAAAGAAATGGATGTTAATGTAAAGAAATGGATGTTAATGTAACTCCCGACCACTAATTTTTTTCTCACATAATTATTTTTAAAAATGCATAAAATATTCATTATCTATCCGAATCAAATAAAAATGGTACAAAATACACATCATTACCTTACGAACATAAGTGTAAAATTTCGGTTCTTTACCATTAATACTTTTTAGCGCAATTTCCATTCTGGAGAATGGACACCAGCGAGTTGACGAGATTCCTTCCATAATGTTGTTGACATGGAATAAAAACGTGCTTTTTAGATTTAGACCGTAAAAAAAAAAAAAAAAAAAAAAACTTAAGCCTAAAATTAATTTAGAAATTTTATATTTTTAGAATAAATACTATAAAAGTTGCAAATCCAGAGAACTTGAAAATAATTTGTTGAGTTTAAGGCTACATTTCTATTTATTTTCATCAAGCCAAAGTTATAACCGGATGTTTCACTTTCGTAAGGCAAATATTGATTGGCTGTACAGTAACTTAGGGAACGATAACTATTTGTTTACAAAACTTTGCAGATCAAGTTTTTAAATAACAATGCAAATTTAAAACCCCATGACCTAGTTTTCTAATTTTAGCTTACAATGTGTACAATATGGCGGCCTATCCAATAGCAGGATGCCATTGTTTATGTCACCATTACACGTGAAAACCAAATTGTTTTTGCTTTTTTTTTAATTTTTATTTAGTTACCGAAAATATTAAAAACATCAAATACATCCAATCTTTAGTAAAGTCCGAAGAAAACCAGACAGACAGGATTTTATAACCATATTAATTGTAACTACGCCGTGCAAGATTTTTAAATTAATTTATGCACCTCTCAAATACCTTTGAGACTTTTCTCGCTGGTGTCCATTGCGTTTATTAACCCGTCATTTCTGGATGTATGAATGTATGAATGAATGGATGTGTGTCCGCAGCTTTAAGTCGTATCTCCTCCTCAACAAAGCAATATCGAGGACTAGTTCCAAAAGCAATTATGTTAAGCAAGTTACGAGGATGAACATAGACCAAAACCATTCCGGGTTTCTTTCATGGATTTCCCGGAAAAGCCAAAAAACCTTTTAAAAATGCAGTTTTTTACCCATATCTCAGCAACCAGACCACTTAGCGACTTGAAACATGTACCAATCGATTCCTGCCATAATTTAGAACAATATTGCCGAAGAAAGTTTTCAAAAATATCCTTTCGTTCGGTCACAAAAATTTTTTTGAATTAATTAAAATCTGGACCAAATTAGTAGGCATTTTTATCCAACCACACCACACGCGTCATCACGTTCAATAACTGCGCCATCACGTTCAATGGCTGCGACATCACGTTCGGTAGCTAGGCGCGCAATGGATTTTAGTCATGTAACTCTATTGTAAATAAAACATGTAAAATACTGGACAAAAAAATTAATAAAAACCGTTTTAATAACTAATTAACTAACCAATGGTTTTACTAACCCTGCTCTTGATTTACGCTACGACAGAGCTATTTTTAGAAACATAAGGAAATTGCGCTAAAATTGTCACTAGACTTTTTAATTACCTTGTTTTCATAATCGTGCACATTAATATGTTACTAAATATAGTAAAAGCTACAATTTCAAGGTCATTTCAAGGTCACAATAATTTTGTTACTTTTTGTTACCTCACTAAGCCGGTAAAAAAAATTTAAGGTCTGTTTAAAATAAAGTACTTGTTCTGAATTTTTTTTTTATTAAAGGGGTGTTTCTACAAATGAATATATCAATAAACTAACGTCTTTGAATAAATGTGTGTTTAACAGTTCTGTACATAGTGCAGATGCTCTCGTCTAACGGAAGAGATAGGCAAACAAAAACCAAAAAAAAAAAAAAAAAAAAAAAAAATATACACATTTGTAAACATAGGAGACTTAGTAGAATATAGATGGCATAACACATACTGCTTTTAGAGGGTGTGTGATAAATTACTTTTAATGTTTGGTTTTAACATTATGTGTAGTGTAACATTGAGATTATGTCAAAACAATATTACTTTGTGATAACTACTCTCCATGTAGCGCGGGATATATATATATATATATATATATATATATATATATATATATATATATATATATATATATATATATATATATATATATATATATATATATATACATAGACATATATATACATAGCCATAACCATAGCCATATACATAGACATAGACATACACATAGACGTGCTCATATACGTACACGTACACATTTATATATATACATATATACATATATATATACATATATATATATATATATATATATATATATATATATATATATATATATATATATATATATATATATATATATATATTCGATATCTAACTCACCAAAGTAAAGCTGCACTCTGAGAGACGATAGAGATCCACAACAAAAAACATCCAGACGTAGATGGTGCCAAGGCCAAAGGAAAAAGCCGTGCCCAACGCCAGACAAGCAAATAATGGGAAGAACACGAGACCGTAGATAATCATTGAGAGGATGGCCATCACAGCTGGGATAAGGGGGAATACAGACTTGATTTATTGACAACAGTGTCCTAAAAATATAACTGAACTAATTATTCCAGCTTTAAACTTTGACATTTTAATCAACCAAAGCCCTACGATAATTTAACAAAATTAACCCAAAGCTTAACCTTGATTATTTTAACCAAACTAACTATAACCTACGAATTATCGAGTACACATATTGTATAGCCTACTTTCTACTGAAAGAATCCCGTCGTAGTCAACAGCGAACTGGTGTTGAATGGAGATTTGATAGACCAAAAATGCTGTGGCTCCGTAAGCGCATGCGTAGGAAATTCTTGATGATCTAGTTAAAGTATCCATTGGACTGCGGGAAGTATTGAAATACAACTTTACTTAAGGTTTAATGGTTAAGGGTTAAGGGTTTAGGGTTAAATGTTACGGGTCAAGGGTTAAGGGTTAAAGGTTTCATACGTTCCAATTTTAGGTTAGCGAACTTCTCAATTTTCATGAAAACCTGCTTGTTTTTTTTTTCCAGAGTTGATTGAGTGGCGTTGATAGATTGGGGTTGGTACTGTAGGGTTGGCAGAGTGGGGTTGGCGGAGTAGGGTTAATAGAGTGGGTTTGGCACTGTAGGGTTGGCGGAGTGGGGTTGATAGAGTGGGGTTGGCGGAGTGGGGTTGATAGAGTGGGTTTGGCTCTGTAGGGTTGGCAGAGTGGGGTTGATAGAGTGGGGTTGGCTCTGTAGGGTTGGCACTGTAGGGTTGGCAGAGTGGGGTTGGCGGAGTAGGGTTGATAGAGTGGGTTTGGCACTGTAGGGTTGGCAGCAGTGTTCCCTCTAAGCTGCGCGGCTGCGCGGCCGCGCAGCACTTTCAAATGTGCCGCGCAGAGATTTTCTGATGCCGCGCACAGATTATCAGAACGTCGGGCAAGCCTGATTCACTAAAAAAATTGAATTAAGCGACATTTTTTAGTACCTGTTTTGTTAAACGAACAGTCTTTGTGTTTTGAGGCCTCGACCAAACTGATACTTAAAGCTTGTGACCCCTAGGGGAGGGGGTGACCTCGGTTGTCATACCACAGGTCTAGTTAATGACTTAACTCTCAACTGAGCGAGGCGGGTACCGATGTGATGTCTGGGTGACACTCCCTCTGCTTGATTTAATGGTTTACCCCAAAACTGACCGTAAAAGGGATTGTGGCTAGTAGCTGACCATGCAAGGTTTTATTTTCTATTGTCACTGCCCTCCCCCATCTCCCAACCCCCACCCACCTCCTTGATACTATGACGGTTTATTCAAGTCAGATGCAAATTATAGGTTACTTAAGGTGGATGTGTTTTACTCTGTTTGGTTTAAGGATTTATATACTGAATCCAATTCTTGGGATTATTACGTGCACCTGGATCGAACTGTTTCAGTATTCAAAGACTGGTTTAGTAAATAAGGAATAAAAGTTTACTACTCAGTGCTTTTTGAAAATGTTGAAAAGAAAAATGTGTGTAACAAGCGGTAAAACAATGCAGCAAAAAAAAAAGCGAGAGATTCGTTTAAACTGGAATGGCTCAAAGTTAAAGTAACAACCGATACGCCAGATTCTAAGAATGTTTCAGTTGAATTAGGAAGCATCTATGAATATTTAGATGAGATTGGACTGAAGTGGACTTCAGTGATTGGACTGTGCTGCTAGTACTTGTAACAAAACCAACAAAGACAACGAATTTGTCACAGGAAAGCGTTTGGAATCATGGAAGAAAAGATTGACTACTGTAAACGTCATTTGTCTCGTGTTCACGAAGAAAATGTTGCGATTTTGTACACCCGCTCAAATGGGACTGCTGCTGGTTAAAACTAACACTGAGCGAGAAGAACGAATTGAACAAAATGAGCGCCAGCGTTCAAACGAGGATCAAGTTCGAATCCTAATGCATAATGTTCTTCTCGCCATTAGGATGAACGCCTCGATGCTGTCGGTACAACTGATTCATAACCACATGGAGAAGTATGTTTCTATACCAGACAGTTGGCAGAACTTCGAGTAGCATCGTTCCACACGCTTATAGTTGATGAAAGTACTGACATAACAGTACATAAAATGCTAATCTTTTATTTTAAATTTCGTCCAGTCAATTATTTATTCTACAAAACCGTTTTTGGTGGAATAATTCAGCTTACCGCATGTGATGCCTCAGCTCTGGAGGCAGCCATAACACAGTACTACACTGAACATCAACTTGACATGAACCGCTTGGTAATGATAACATCAGACGGGGCATCGGTTATGTTAGGCCGTAGGAAGGGATTAGCTGCTTTATTGAAGGCTAAGGTCCCCCACCTTGTTGAACAGCACTGTGTTGCTCATCGATAAGACTTGGCACTTTCTGATGCTTGGAAAGATGTTAATTTGTTTAAAAATATTGAGGTTCTCTTACGCAGTTTACATTTTATTTAGTCGATCTTCGGTTAAAAAGGGCGCACTTGAAGAATTGGCCAAGATGCATGATATGGATGTAATTTCTTTTCGACCAATTCATGAAGTTCGTTGGTTGTCACGTCACTTTGCTGTCAGTGCTTTTGTTAGAAATCTTGATGTTTTAGCTGCTTACTGTGAAGAACAAGTCCAAGACTGCAATGATCCTGTTTGTTGTTATTTTTTGAGATCATTAAGAGATCCCCTGTATCAAGTTGCGCTTTATACCGTTAATGATGTATTAACTGAATTAGCTAATCTATCAATGTTGTTGCAGCGAAGTAATTTATCATCTATTGAAGCACATCAATTTTGCATTTCTAAAATACGCAAATTAGAAGCACAATACCTGAGTGAAGATGTATATTGGAATGATAAAACCAAGAAAATTTTGAATGTAAACGTAGGAATCGACACAAGACAAATCACGCAGTTGATACGATCGGTCTGCGATCATTTAAATGTAAGGTTTCCAGGAGATGAACTGCAGTTTTGGTCAGTTTTTGATCATACTTGTTTAAAAAAATTGTGTATTTGAGTTTGGCGTCAAAGAGATCAAACAACTGTGCGTTAAGTGCAAAGACTTGTTACAAACAACAAATAAAGAGTCATTTATCACGCAATACAATGACTTCAAATTTCAGATCAGTGAAAAACTCAAATCAGGTTCAGTAAATTCACTAACTGAAATCGCAGGAGTTACTTTAAACGATGAACAATTTAGCTCATTGGCAAAGTTAATTAACATATGCTGTACTTTTCAAGCATTCAGCGCTGATTGCGAGCGAGGTTTTAGTCTTATGAACAGCATTAAAGTGCAAGCACGAAATAGACTTGAAGTCACACATTTGGAGAATCTAATGCGAATTAAATTATATCTAAATGCTGGAGAGGATGTGGATTTAAACAAAGCATATAAGGTGTGGAAGCAAGGCAAGGTTAGACACGAGAAATTGCAATAAATGCCCCTGAAAGGTTAGCTAATTTTGTTTTCAAGTCAGCTTTTTAAAATGGTTAACATGTTAAACTGTTGTATTTGTGTTACCGTTATGGTATTAACATTATTAACATATGATTGCATTACACTAACATAGTAAGTCGACCATATAACATGTTGTCTAAGTATAACTCTGAAAGTTTCTGTTGTGTATTTTATTTTATTTTGATGGGATTCGTATCTTCTTTTAATTGCATACGTTTCACTAGTCCTACACATTATACTATTAATTTATATCAAAATGCATGCCTTCATTACTCTGCTTAATTGCAAGCTTAAACATACATATAAAGTTGCCCAAGTCATTTTTAGCACCGCGCACACAACATATTTTTTGCACACACACTCTGGGTCCTTAGAGGGAACATTGGTTGGCAGAGTGGGGTTGATAGAGTGGGGTTGGCACTGAAGGGTTGGCAGAGTGGGGTTGATAGAGTGGGGTTGATAGAGTGGGTTTGGCACTGTAGGGTTGGCGGAGTGGGGTTGATAGAGTGGGGTTGATAGAGTGGGTTTGGCACTGAAGGGTTGGCAGAGTGGGGTTGATAGAGTGGGGTTGATAGAGTGGGGTTGGCTCTGTAGGGTTGGCAGAGTGGGGTTGATAGAGTGGGGTTAGCGGAGTGGGGTTGATAGAGTGGGTTTGGCACTGTAGGGTTGGCAGAGTGGGGTTGATAGAGTGGGGTTGGCTCTGTAGGGTTGGCAGAGTGGGGTTGATAGAGTGGGGTTGATAGAGTGGGGTTGGCTCTGTAGGGTTGGCAGAGTGGGGTTGATAGAGTGGGGTTAGCGGAGTGGGGTTGATAGAGTGGGTTTGGCACTGTAGGGTTGGCAGAGTGGGGTTGATAGAGTGGGGTTGGCTCTGTAGGGTTGGCAGAGTGGGGTTGATAGAGTGGGGTTAGCGGAGTGGGGTTGATAGAGTGGGTTTGGCACTGTAGGGTTGGCAGAGTGGGGTTGATAGAGTGGGGTTGGCACTGTAGGGTTGGCAGAGTGGGGTTGATAGAGTGGGGTTGGCTCTGTAGGGTTGGCAGAGTGGGGTTGATAGAGTGGGGTTAGCGGAGTGGGGTTGATAGAGTGGGTTTGGCACTGTAGGGTTGGCAGAGTGGGGTTGATAGAGTGGGGTTGGCTCTGTAGGGTTGGCAGAGTGGGGTTGATAGAGTGGGGTTAGCGGAGTGGGGTTGATAGAGTGGGTTTGGCACTGTAGGGTTGGCAGAGTGGGGTTGATAGAGTGGGGTTGGCTCTGTAGGGTTGGCAGAGTGGGGTTGATAGAGTGGGGTTAGCGGAGTGGGGTTGATAGAGTGGGTTTGGCACTGTAGGGTTGGCAGAGTGGGGTTGATAGAGTGGGTTTGGCACTGTAGGGTTGGCAGAGTGGGGTTGACAGAGTGGGGTTGGCACTGTAGGGTTGGCAGAGTGGGGTTGGCGGAGTGGGGTTGATAGAGTGGGTTTGGCACTGTAGGGTTGGCAGAGTGGGGTTGATAGAGTGGGGTTGGCTCTGTAGGGTTGGCAGAGTGGGGTTGATAGAGTGGGGTTAGCGGAGTGGGGTTGATAGAGTGGGTTTGGCACTGTAGGGTTGGCAGAGTGGGGTTGATAGAGTGGGTTTGGCACTGTAGGGTTGGCAGAGTGGGGTTGACAGAGTGGGGTTGGCACTGTAGGGTTGGCAGAGTGGGGTTGGCGGAGTGGGGTTGATAGAGTGGGTTTGGCACTGTAGGGTTGGCAGAGTGGGGTTGATAGAGTGGGGTTGGCTCTGTAGGGTTGGCAGAGTGGGGTTGATAGAGTGGGGTTGGCGGAGTGGGGTTGATAGAGTGGGTTTGGCACTTTAGGGTTGGCAGAGTGGGGTTGATAGAGTGGGGTTGGCTCTGTAGGGTTGGCAGAGTGGGGTTGGCGGAGTGGGGTTGATAGAGTGGGGTTGATAGAGTGGGTTTAGCACTGTAGGGTTGGCGGAGTGGGGTTGATAGAGTGGGGTTGGCGGAGTGGGGTTGATAGAGTGGGTTTGGCACTTTAGGGTTGGCGGAGTGGGGTTGATAGAGTGGGGTTGGCGGAGTGGGGTTGATAGAGTGGGTTTGGCACTTTAGGGTTGGCGGAGTGGGGTTGATAGAGTGGGGTTGGCTCTGTAGGGTTGGCAGAGTGGGGTTGGCGGAGTGGGGTTGATAGAGTGGGGTTGATAGAGTGGGTTTAGCACTGTAGGGTTGGCGGAGTGGGGTTGATAGAGTGGGGTTGGCGGAGTGGGGTTGATAGAGTGGGTTTGGCACTTTAGGGTTGGCGGAGTGGGGTTGATAGAGTGGGGTTGGCACTGTAGGGTTGGCAGAGTGGGGTTGATAGAGTGGGGTTGATAGAGTGGGTTTGGCACTGTAGGGTTGGCGGAGTGGGGTTGATAGAGTGGGGTTGATAGAGTGGGTTTGGCACTGTAGGGTTGGCGGAGTGGGGTTGATAGAGTGGGGTTGGCACTGTAGGGTTGGCAGAGTGGGGTTGATAGAGTGGGGTTGATAGAGTGGGTTTGGCACTGTAGGGTTGGCGGAGTGGGGTTGATAGAGTGGGGTTGGCTCTGTAGGGTTGGCAGAGTGGGGTTGATAGAGTGGGGTTGATAGAGTGGGGTTGGCTCTGTAGGGTTGGCAGAGTGGGGTTGATAGAGTGGGGTTGATAGAGTGGGTTTGGCACTGTAGGGTTGGCGGAGTGGGGTTGATAGAGTGGGTTTGGCACTGTAGGGTTGGCGGAGTGGGGTTGATAGAGTGGGGTTGATAGAGTGGGTTTGGCACTGTAGGGTTGGCGGAGTGGGGTTGATAGAGTGGGGTTGATAGAGTGGGTTTGGCACTGTAGGGTTGGCGGAGTGGGGTTGATAGAGTGGGGTTGATAGAGTGGGTTTGGCACTGTAGGGTTGGCGGAGTGGGGTTGATAGAGTGGGTTTGGCACTGTAGGGTTGGCGGAGTGGGATTGGCAGGGTGGGATTGGCAGGGTGAGGCTGGCGAAGTGGGGTTTGGGTTCACTTATCTATATTCTCTTCGTCAGTGAAAAGCTATTTTATTGTTTTTTACAATCTAACTTTGGTAGGTAGGTTGTACACTTTAAACTCTATAAGAGAAAATGTAAATAGGAATGTTCTAGAGTTTGACCTAATAGTTTACTTGACATCGCTGCCTACAGAATATTGTAAAGTGTCTTTAATTTTTAAAATTTACATTTATCCCTCCCCTTCTCTCCCCTCGCTTCCCTATCATTACGTCATCCTGACTTACAATAATAGACCGGGTCGGCCGTTGAGAAACTCTAACAATCGCTGTCGTCTAGAAGTTGTGGCAGCTAACAGCAGAATCAAAACCACCTAGATAAAGAAATTCAGTTCAGTTCTATTAAGTCTATAAGGTCAGGTCTTCCAGGCATCTCTTCGAGGGGGCTTTGCCCCCCCCCCCCCCCGCGCCCCCCGAACGAAATGAAATTTATATAGAAAACTGTGTCCGCCCCCCCCTTCCCGAAAGTCTACCGCCCCCCCCCCCCCCCCCCGGAGAAAGAAGTCTGGAAGAAACACTGATTCTTTGATTTTTTCATTCATTCATCAATCATTCATTTTATTTTGTATGTGTAAGCGAGAGAGAAAAAAGAGAAAGAGGGATATAGAGAAAGATTCAAGCCTATCAGTTTAATCTCTTCTTTTTTTTAAATTGTAGCCTAGTAATTAAACACTGAAAAAAGAAACCATAATGCAGCATTGCTTTACGAATGATAAAATATCTTACTGCAGGAATGATTGAATATTGATAAAATATCTTACTGCAGGAATGATTGAATATTGATAAAATATCTTACTGCAGGAATGATTGAATATTGATAAAATATCTTACTGCAGGAATGATTGAATATTGATAAAATATCTTACTGCAGGAATGATTGAATATTGATAAAATATCTTACTGCAGGAATGATTGAATATTGATAAAATATCTTACTGCAGGAATGATTGAATATTGATAAAATATCTTACTGCAGGAATGATTGAATATTGATAAAATCTGTAATGACTGATGTGGCTCTCACATGGAACGCTGAAAAAAAAAAATAACACGTTGGGGTAACGATCAGGTAAGAGGAAAAAAATTACAGGAAAAAAAAAAGTCACTTAAAAAAGTCACGAAGGAAAGAATGTTTAGGAATAAAAGTTACAGAAATAAACCGGGAGTGATCTCCCCTAAACTTTCTCGAATATTCTTATTTAACACTACGGAGGATGGCAACTCGTCGGGATATAGACGTGGTTTTTACAAGCTTTTATTTAACTCACTTTCTCTGTCGACAGTCTAGATTGAAACGTCCGAGCGAAATTTCGGACACTCCTAACTGGCAGATTTGTTAAATCATCATGAACAATGATAAAGTTTAAAAACTTAGGCAACACCCTACTTTAAATTATGTCTACAGTAAAAAAAAATGGATTTCCTTTTTCTTTTTAAAATTATTGTAATGAACAAATATTAAAATTCCAATGTAAGAGTTTTAAATGTTTTAAAGATGGGAAAAGGCTCCTATGTCTTGCTTATGCTAGCTTTACGGTAGCGACGCCACTGGTGGTATTATAGAAGTTAACTAAATTGAATCAGGTGCATCCGCCGGCATCCCATCAGGGTAGGATTCGGCGCCCTGGACTATCCTGTGAGCACTATGGCTCTTACGTTAGTTTTAAGTTTCACCCTACAGTATTGACACGCTGGCACACGACATTCGATGATTAAACCGAGCCAGGGGCCGCATGCTGCGCCCCTACCGTAGTGTAATAGGGGGTTCTCAAGAGCGCCCCTCTACGTCCCTGACACCAGGGTGGTCGTCGAAGCGTGTTCTACCTCACTATTACGTTGAGTGATTAACGTACACACAAGGCTTTCATACATCACGCCCTGGGGTGTGCTGGGTGGTAGTGTAGGCCAACGCGTGTCCCGGCAAATATGATCCAAGTGCAAGCACTGTTTACATTTAAATAACTCAGTTTTAGAAAACAAGGTCATACGTCTAAGAAGGTCTATACCTTTTTTCTCATGATGAATAAAACACTAAGCCTTGTGCAGGCCTATTACTTTTGTTTCATGCTGAATATAGCCCTAAGCTTTAGGTAGTCTTAAAACTTGTCGTGATGAATATAATGTTAAGGTTTAAGTAGGCCTATAATTATTTTAGTGGAGATTAGACTGGTTTTTTAAAAAATACTTACAATCCTGTGGCGTTACTGTCCGTAGCGGCATAGTAAAATCTGCTAATTCCTTGCAAGAATGCATCAGCCATCTTAGAAAATTGTGCCTTCAGCCACTCTGTGATATCAGCCACTGTGATGTGACTATATCGTCATGCTTATTTCTTTGGTTTGAACAAAGCTGGACTTTCTGCTGGCCTTGGTCAATCAGAAAGTAGTTTGTGATTGGTTTCTTTATGTCTCCCAAAGTATTTAGCGCAATATTAATGAATTAACCTCTGACCTAAACTCTACAGGAGGATCAGAGTGTCTAGTCAATGAATTAGTTTGTCGTGTAGTAGAACTAGTTTGTCGTGTTAAAAACTAATGTCACAAAACTGTAAACGTTGTGTGGTGTAGTAGAAGTAGTTTGTCGCGTAGTAGAAATAACTTGTCGTGTAGTACAACTAATGCATGGGCGGATTAAGCTTGAGCGGGGACCCCGGCTGAAAATTTTCCGGGGGACCCATATGTTCAATATATACATATATATATATATATATATATATATATATATATATATATATATATATATATATATATATATATATATATATATATATATATATATATATATATATATATATATAAGCCTAACCCTAGTCAATGTAATTTACTCTCTGGTTGTGTTTTATAAGCGCGATCAATCAAAACTAATTTTCTTAGTCCAGTGTCACACGTTTTATTATTTTAAGGACAGCTCTCTTTAATAAACATTGTCTGAGGGAAGTGATGACAGCACTGTACAGCTTGTGCTTTTGTGTCTGTCTAAAGGACAAACGTATATTTTCATGGCAGAATAAATGTCAAATTTATGTGTTTGTAAAAAAATAAGTTTATGGTTTGAACGTTAAAAACATTCATTCAGATAGTAAAAACAAAAATCGACAGGAAAATCGATTATTAATTGTGTGTATTAATGTTAAAATATAAAAATTTGGGAGCCCCTAAAATTTGGGGACGAGCTAAGGCCTAATGACTTTAATTTCTGTACTCTTGAGATAAACCCCACCATGTCTTTGTTGCTAACACTTTGGGTCTAGATTAGGTTTTAATTATTGTGGATTAAGCACATACAACATCACTACTATCCGACCTGTCACTTCCAATAACACACTCAAAACACAATTCTTACCTTACAAAAACGTTGTGTTGTTGAAGGTTCAGACAGCCGGATCAGTAGGTCTAAACGATTTTCTATTTTCTTGGGGCTATAGGGCTAATGGATACGGCTTATCATTAGCTGCTAATTTATTGTTAAAAATTAGGCGGATAAGTCATAAACAAACGTGTAGTAAAACTTGGTTTTTAGTTTGTTATGGTGATATTCAGTTTTTTTCAGACACATGCTGATTAACCCATTTACGTGCAAGAAAAAGAATTTCTATTATTTAAGATGAGTCGCTTTATGTAAACAGTTTCTGTGGGGAAAGCGATGACAGCTGCTGTAAACACTGGAAGAGGGGGGGGGGGGTGTTGTCGTCGGATTTTTTTATGGCCTTTGTTTGTTTAAAAAAAAAGCTTGTAATTTAGACATTAAAACAAGGAATTAACTAACAGAAATAAACGTCTGTAGAAATAAAAAAATTAGTTATTGTGGGTGAATTAGGGGCCCCTTAAAATGTATGAATGCTTGCGAGTGAGATTGAATAAACAGTGTAGACCCTATGCCTCACATTTGTGCTTTATTTTATGATTAATTCTTCACTATACAATCTGGCGTTATCTGACGAAAGGACTTTCAAATTCCTATCTTACTATTTCAAAGAGGGTCAATCGTAGGCTTTTTGCTCTGAATTCTGCTGCTGTTCGTGGTATTTTTTTTAAACTCTATAATCAACTCATTTTATTGTTGTTGTTTTTTTTAATTAAAACATTGATTTTTATATAAAAAAACAACAATTAAGTTGTCAAGTGAAAGTTACTATGGTTTGTAAGTGAAAATTTAGAACCCATAAGTACAGTCCTCCCCCACCCCCCCCCCCCCCCCCACCCCTTAATCCGCCACTGAACTAGTGTGTTGTGTAGTAGAACTAGCATGGCGTGTTAAAAACTAATGTCACAAAACTGTAAACATTTGATCAGAAACATTTTAAACTAATGTCATAAGATTAAAAATTGTATCAGAAAGTTTTAACTAATGTCACAAAACTGTAAACATTTGATCAGAAACTTTTAACGATTTAAACAACAAACGTACCGAAAAAAAGGTTGACTGATCTGGTTGTTTAAAATTGGAAAGCAGAAAACTACCTCATTCATTTGATCCTGGGCTTAATAATGGCGACGGGAAAAATTTGATCTTGAAGCAACAAAGCTCCTACACATTTGCTGATAAGATAGAAACTAACAGTTGACCTAATTTTTTCATGTTGTGCTTTGTTTAAATAATGATAACAGCGTGAGTGGTGTGTTACGTGGACGTAGGTATGTTACATGGACGTTTGACTGTTACAATGGATGGATGGATGTCCAAGTGATATTATTTCTTTGTATGTAGTGTCTCTTGTCCATCCTGCCACCAAATGTGACAGACGTGTGACAATCTTTGTTAGATTGTGTGCGACCCCCTTCTCGCAGCACCCAGATGCGACAGAGGTGTGTAACCGTCTGTTTGTAGTTATTCGTCCACTGCGTAGGAATTCCACTGCACATAAATGACGTCACGCTTTTTACCTCCCCCCCCCCCCCTCCCCACCGTCACACGTCGTCACACAAAGCCAACCCCCCCCCCCCCCCCCAAAGACACACCTCAGTCTACAACCACCCCCCCCTCAAAATTACAGTTGCATTTTTTTAAACATCGATATTTTTCTAAAATCGTGTATGAACTCTGTCAAAATAGAGTATTTTAATCAATTCCTAATACCATTTATTAAAACAGTTTTCAAAAACACGAAAAAAAACGTCTAAAATTCGTTTTCTAACATTGCTTTTTTTATAATGCAAAAGTGTGACGTCGCACCATCTGACCCCCCCCCCCCCCATCATATACCGTCACAAAATCACGGACCCCCCCCTCCCCGTGTGACATGTATGGACGACCCCTAGGTTGTGGACACCTCATCTGGTAATGACATATCCAACTCATATAAAAAATCACACTCTGACCGCAGGTTCAAGATTACAACATTTTCTATTATTTTTTTTTTTTTATTTCTTGATGAATAATCACTATTGGAAGAATATGTGAATCATCAGACCTTCAATGCAACAGGTCAACACACTGTATCACTCCGTATCGCACGTCGACACTGTATTCTGTGTTCAATAATTCTCTGTGAGGGCTCCACTGTCACAATCAATCCTCAATCAAACACGCCGTCCCTTAGCTGCACCTATGGGTCACCTTAACCTAGGCCAACCACGTGTTTATCCACATGATCTCCACACACAATCGTTCACTACACCTTTCCCTCCCTGGCCTTCTAACATCGTTCTCTTTGCGTTTCGGCTTATATACAAACAAGACACACCAAGCTCTACATCCGGTGTTATCGACATCTATCAAGGTCGAATTATTCTATTTTGGCACCACCAAGGGGTCATCCATTTATGACGTCCGGTGTTAGGGCGCCCTCGAGAGCCACTTGTTAAACGGCTATGGTTCGATTAAGTCATCTATTGTCGCGTGCCACCGTGTCCTTATTGTAGGATGCTCTTAAAACGAACGTAGGTCTCAAATGCTCACTTGGATGCCAGAAAACGCCTGATTCATTTCAGGGGCGGAACTACAGTGCCGCCAGACCCCGCAATGCGGGGGGGGGGGGGGGCAGGCCGTTTAGGGGCCCACGGCTGATCATAATTAATATTTTTTTTTAATTTTGAATTTAATTTTCGTGCATTTTTGCCTTGATATTTGGTTTGTAAAAGAAAAACACTATAGCTGCGGTACGATTATATTTATTTTACAGTCACTATACCACGCTGTTCCGCAAAAAATAAAATCCATTACACAAACTACAGTGTAAAATGTAGGCAACTCTTCTAATTAGAATGACTTCTTTGACTCGTTGTTCCCCTATGATAGTTAAATAAAGGACACGTAACTGTTTGACCGATCCTCCAAAGTGCAGGTACTGTGGCGGATGGGGCAGGGGATGGGGACCAAAAAGGGGGCTCAAAAATTGTCGTCAAATTTTTTTATATTTAAAAAAGTTATTTATAGTTGTATTTTTTAACCATCGTCAAGGCCGAGTTCTATTTCCGTACAATCAAACACACGCTGTCGCCGGCAAGTCCATATCACGAGATGCCGCTACATATGAAGTGGGCTTTCATGATACGCGGTTCTTCTGTACGGCCTTAGGGACCCGAAATCGATTGTACATTTTTCAATGTTAATGTGTTTGTGGTAGTGGTTGAATTTGTATCCTGTACTATCTTGTATCCTACATATAATACAAAATAATATAATACTAGAAACTTCAGTTTTATATACGTTTACTTGTTTTTGCTTTTACAAGAAATATCCATAGTAAACTTTTAAGGCCTACACTTGGAATTATCTCCCCTGAGTAAGTTTTACAAATGGGCGATGCTGACGTACACTGGCGTTTTGTTGTCTCTTTCAAGTTTTTTTTCGAGCCGACCCCCATCCCATCCCATCTCTCTTTCTTCGCCTCGCAAGTATCGAGTAGATCAATGTATCGTTTATAAACTACTTCCTAACAGTACGATTCACACTTAAGCACATTTTGTCAAACACTAGACAACACTAGTCAACAGATATTAATTTACTTGCATAATATTAGGCACATCTAATTCACAAAACAGGGAAGGTAAGATTATTTTTTATATAATTATTTAGAAATTAATTATAATTAGAACGTTTAGAATTAATTGAACATTATTAATAGTCAATTACTATTTATACATGACGTCATTGAGGTGAGGGTCTGGCTTTTTGTTAGTCGTTAAAAAATGTGACGTCATTTGTGGATTCTCTCCCCCCCCCCCCCCCAATTAGAGGGTTATCCGACGCGTGAGCTGGCCACATACAGTTGTACATGTGAAAAACATTTTTCTGTCTATTATGCATTACTGCATCATTCACCCAATCGCCATGAAAACTTGGGAAGCTGTTGTGTACAGCAGAGGCGTAGCGACCCTTCCCGGCGCCCGGGGACAAACTTTTCGATTTGCCCCCCCCCCCCCCCCCCCAAACTTTCGATGATTTCGCCCCCTAAGGTCGTCGTCCCTCTCCCCCCCCCCCCCCCCGCCCCCTCCCCCCTACGCTACTGGAGTACAGCCCCGCAAAGGTTTCTGTCATAGGCCTACTAACATTTGTTTACATATTGGAGTGGGGACGCCTAACGGAAATATGTGATTTAGTGCCCCAAGATCCTGCATAAGCGGATGGGGTTAGTACTTTAATCCACCGGCGGCAGTGTCATCCTGAGCGCATCACATATGACCAGGTTGACCCCCACAGACAGTCGTTTAAAAATTCTCACAACACTAGGAATAAGTCTCCGGGAGGGGGTGCACTTGATATTTTCGTGGGGGGGGGGGGGTCAGACATTGGTAAAAGTATATATTTTCTATTTAAAATTTCCATTTCGTTCAGAGGGGGGGGGGGAGGGTAGACTGTTTTCAGGGAAGGGGAGGGGCGGCTCTGCCGGAAGAAACAATGTGTCGCACCCATCACCTGTGCAGTAATGTAACCGGTAGCTCCCAAGAGCCCCGTGACTTCCCTGACACCTGGGCCGTCGCCGAGGGACTTACAGCATGCCTTGGCGTGTCTAGTTGGTAGTGTGGACAAACCCGCGCCCTAAGATCCAAGAAATGAACTGCCGACATTGTTAACATTTAATTCAACTTCTGGAAAACAGGGCAAAAAAAAAAAAATCGGCGTCAGTTTGGTGTGTTGGACTAGATTTAGAGAGTACGTGCTTCTCACTTGGAAAACTGAATGGGGCCAGCTCGTGTGTTGGAAAACCTCTGATTTATTCGTGTACCAGATGGATATATATATATCTATATCTATATATATATATATATATATATATATATATATATATATATATATATATATATATATATATATATATATATATATATATATATATAAGGGGGAGGGCCTACAAAATTTTTTTGCGGGGTTGCCCTTTTTTTCTAGTTCCCCCACTGTCTCAGTCATCCTACTATTCCATCAAAAGTTGAATTGTTCAAAATAAATCGAATTTTTAAAAAGAGCGAGGAAAATGCGATTATTTCACTTTGCCATTCATTGCCGTTTCAATGTTTTAGGTATGACCTTCTCAATGTATTCCCTGCTTCAAACAATTTAGAATGTATAAGTTTAAGATCATTAGTTGTATTCGTACATTTAAATCTAATTTAATTATCCTTTGAAATAACACCAAAATCAAAAATAGTGATTCTAAGAGATAAATAAAGGAAAAGAAAAAACACTATAAAACTCTGTACCAACTAATCAGGAAATAATATAATTAATGTTAACCTTAATCTATTTTAATTATGAGCTTTAACATAATAATCCATGCGGTAGGAATAGAAAAATAATTGAGGGTAGTCCTAAATAAGTGTAGACTTAAATAGAAATATTTAGCATGAGTGTAATTTCTTTTTTACTTTTTCAATGGGAAAATGACAACAAAAATGGATGCTTGAATTTCTTGTCATTCTAATTTTGTATATTTTCTTTGCTGTGAAATGACAGCTTTTAGATGAGTGAATAAAATGGGCACTGGATATTGCAAACTTTAGAGTAATATAGATTTACAATTTACAAGACTTCTAATTTCTATGGCTCTAGGTTGGATTTTTTTATACATTATTCGTTCACAAAAATAACAGTAGGTTAAAAAAAATCAGTTTTTGTCTGTTTTCTAATTACTTGGAAATTACATAACTTTTTAAATCTATTAACACATTTTATGACATTGGTGTCATTCATCTTTGAAATTTTAAGATAACACATTTTATCAGGAGAAACTCATCTATAAGATTTTTGCCATGGACTAGTTATTTTACAATAGATTTTTAAAGTCCTCAATGACTGAAGGATCTTAACTAAATAATTTAAAGAAACATCAAAACAATGAACTGATTAGAAATTAGTTTGTGTTTAGTCCACTGGATGTTTTGCTGGTGCATCATGCTTCTTTCCGGACTGGTTTATATGGTAATAAACGCAACTTTAATGAGGAGAAGCCAAAGAAAAAAGTGGAGATTACCCACTTAGCTGTGGCTGCACTTGTCATGCCTCGATCACTACAAGATGGGAGAAAAGAACTTTCTTAAAAAATTATTCATGTTTATATAGAACTTCTAGGTTTGTGACAGAAAAAGACTTACTGGCAGCTTTGGTTTAGGGTTATGAATGTATCTAACCCTGGGATAGATAATAATAATAGAGGGCAGTGTAAACAATAGTGTAGATTTTAAGTCCTTTTTATTTATGTGTAGTAACCTTCAAACTATGGTCTGTGCTGTGTCTTGTATGAAACATATAATTGTACACAATTTCTGGGCGGGTAGTAAAATATTGGGAAAGACTGGGGGGCCAGCATAGCACCAAGAAACATCTAAGGACTATGTACTGATCAATAGGTAGGGCCTTCTATGTTACCATGTATCAATCCTGTCCAACATCTTGCATCAGAACAGGTAGGGTTAGAGCATTTAAGATTGTGGCAGAAAAAGACTTACTAGCAAACCTTTCCAGCATAGGCTGCCTCAAGAACATGCAGAACAACTGTGACAAGGCATCTGGAAATGAAAAAATAACATTTATTATATTTGATCTGATAAATTGCTTGTTTTAAATACCATTTTTTGCCATTATTTAAAATTTAATCTTGCTATTTTGTAAAAGAACCAATAAATAGTATTTTCTAGCGGTTTTAAAACTAATAGGGGAAAAAGCAAGATACTGGTAAAGTATACTTAGTTTCTTTTTCATACATTTGTAAAAACCAGGAAACTTGTGTCTGATTAAGTCTACCTGCCACAGTTAACAGAGTAGCAAAATCCTTCGATCAAGTTTTAGTAGCACTTTATTTTTCCATTTGACTCCATGAATGTTTGCATATGTGATCATACCCAGATCTTCAACACTTTTATAAAACTCTATCCTGCTGTTGTTTTTTTTAATATCTTTTTCTTCTTCTTCTTCATTCTTAATTTTTAGTGTTGGAAGGGATAGAGCCTTATTTCTGCCAGAGGGTTTGAACTCGAGACTTTTTTCAAATTTATCAACCATGAGCTTTTTGCCGACTCGACCACGCCTCCAACACAATTAAGGATACGTGTCAACTGGTTATGCACCATTAAGGCCATTGACTCCGATTTCAGCCTACTTTTCTTTTTGGATTTGCTTCCATAGCCTTAGTCCAACCAAGAACAAACTACAAGGCAGCAGTTGTTTGATTTTAGAGTTATCTCTCCAAGAAGAGTGGCTGTCCCCAGCTAACGAGCCTCATCTGCCCGAGGGTTCGAACTAGAGACTTTTCAGTTTTAAACTGTTTAGCAACCATGAGCTTTACCGACTCAACCACGGCGACCCCTTTCAATATCTGTAAAAACTTTTATTGTAATTAGGAATAATGAACTTACAAGAGAACACAAAAGTTGTGATAACGGCTTATATGTTTAGCCAAGGTGGCAACTGGACCCAAAAAATCTGGAATACTGTTGGGCGAGAATGTTGAAGCCTAAATGAAAAGATAATAATGAAAATGATTATAGCTAACAATCACAGGTATGAGTAATGCATGAGACTACAATAATAATAATAATACAACAAGACAGTAACTAGCCTGGTACTGTCATGAAAAACAACTGTTAGTGTTCAAAATATGTGTAAATATTGGCTACAGGACATAACCCCACCCTCCCCCGGATTTACCCCCCCCCCCCTGAGCAATTACCCCCCTGTCAAGTTAGAATCCTAACTCTAACTAGAATTCTATACCTATATACTACTTTAATCCAAACCTTAAGAAAAAGACCAAAACCTAAGCATCCCCCTTAGCCTAAAACTTCACACAAAACCAAAACCAACGCTAGACACAACCCTAACCCTAAACCTGGCTCTAACCCTAACCCTGTCCGGGGGGGGGGGGGGGGAATGTAATTGACAGGGGGTAATTACTCCAGGGGAGGAGGGGGGGTAATGTTAGGGGTGGGGATTGTCCGGGGGGGGGGGGGGGGGGGGGTAATGCCCTGTTCCCGTAAATATTAACTATAATATGTAATAGCATGCTGTAGAGACGTTGCAATTAAACTGAATAATCCTAGAGTAATTATGATTATTTGTAGGCTTGAAATAAAGCAACCATAATTGTTTTTTATGTAGGTACAACAATCTTGTCTATGTTGTGTTATTGACTGCATAATGAAGTGTAGAATATGATGTTAAACAGGAAAAATATCGAAAAAGGAAAATTACAGATGCATGGTTATATTTTTTATTTAATTAAAATTTAACACAGTATTTTTTTAAAGTGATCTACGACTGTTTTGCTGCTTTAGACACTGCGTATGCTGCTGTAATTTATTATGATGTAAATAATCTAAATAAAAATTAAAGCATGTGTGCGTCTGTGGGTTGCCATTTATACATTACTACACATTTCATCTGATTGCCCATGAACCTTTGGGAAGTTGAAGAGAATATAATATTCATGGGATGGTTTCTAAGAGAAAAAAAATTTAATTTTGAAGAAGCAGCGCCCTGGTAGAGTGCGATTTTATGTCCAGGGCTCCCCCATGAGTACTATGGCACTTATATTTGTTGTAAAGAATGCAATTTACTATGGATTAATAGGATATGGTTCTATAATCGTTCATTATATCAAATCAGGCACATCAACCAGCACCACAGCTGGGTGCAATTTGGGGCCCTGGGCTCCAATGTCAGCATTATGGCCTCTACATTCTTTTTAAAGAAGACTATACATTATGGACATGGTTGGCTATTATAATCATTGACTTAATTGAATCAGGCTCATCTGCCCTCCTGCTGTAATGTTACCAGTGGCTCCCAAGAGCATCCCTAAACTTGATACTTGAGCGGTCGCTGAGGTATATTCTACCTCACTATTATGGAGGGTGACTACAGTCAAGGCTTTCATACAGCATGCCCTTGTGAGTCTGGGTGGTAGTGAAGACAAACCCGCTATAATCAAAGGATGACAGAAAAGGGTTGTCAACAAGGATGTCTTATAGGTTGGCCATTAGGCTACAAAATTTTTATATAAAATACAATCTGTGCAGAGGCTAACCAAAACTAGTAGCCTTATCATCTAGGTAATCAAATAATAGAATAACTTCTATTTACAAGTTCGGGCAAGTATGACAAAGTACTGTCCACAAGTATTATATGACTATAATTACCATACACTCAAAATATCTAGTCGGCAACATGCAGCACTACAAAAATATAAATGACCATACCATAATCAGGTCTATACTATTTCACTGACAATGACCATGTCGGCACACTGTGACTGTGACATGATCACTCAAAGTAAAACGTAAGTTATAGCAGACCCACACTGTCTGCAATCAAATGGATTACTTCCCCTTGGCTGGTAATGTTACAAGACCTATAACTATTGTTATTATTGGTGACTATTAGGCATTCACTATTGACATTAGGCAATTATCTATTATGGCAATGCCATAGTCATAAAAATAAATTATAAATAATTTATACGGCTAGGCCTAATTATTATTAGGGCTAACAGTAGAAGTAGGGCCTAGATCTATAACTACAGGCTTACTGTTAGACTAATAACGATGCCCCTAGGCCTAACAGTTAGTATTAATCTCTACTCAAGTAACTCCAATATAAGCAACTCCAATGTAGGTCTACTTTGTTAAGTAATAATGTACTTCAATTTAGACTTCCATAACTATTAAAAGTAATTACTACTAGATCTATTTTAGTTTTATTAGGCCAACTAACTGGGCCTATAGCCTATAGCTAATGTTTAAATGGGTAACAACTTCTACTAGCAGGGGTGGGCTGACTATGTCCAAGAGGCCCAGGAAATTATAAAGGGTCCCCCAAACCCAAATTGAATTGTGCAATTTTTTTCTTCATTGAGGCCTGAATTTTTAGCATCGATGTGAAGGCTTGGCAAAACTGTATCATATAATACTGCATTATTGTGATTACACTAGTAGTAATTTATTGATATTGGTTAATTACTAATAATTAGGCCTACTGACTTTGTGTGGTGTAGGTAGGGCCTTACTTTTAGTAGCCCTAACTATTAGCTAAACTTAAAACAGATCTAGAACTAACTTATTACTAATTAACTCTGATCTTTTAGATCAAAATATGGTAATCTATGGTTTTAGGCCACGACGGGGGGACGTTCTGACCGGGATTCAAAGGGACGACTTGAAATATCATCCTTAATTTTAAACAGCAGTGTTTGCCAGCAAGATTTGCTAGGCCTATAGTATATATAAACAGCATCTTTCTGTAAATTAGAGTGGTTTCTAGTTTCTACTGAATCTCTAACTATAATTTTACCAAAAAAATTTAAACAGGATGGCTGCTAAAATAAATGAGCTTGAACTTGATTGATTGCATCTGATAAAAACATTGCTAGATCTAGTCTTTATTTATTACTGAAAACTTTTAATACAATTGTTTAAAAACAGATATCTAGATTTACACTACATGAATCAAACTTTGAAACATTTTTGTAACTTTCAAAACAAAAATACTAGTCTAGATCTAGATCTACTAAAAATGTGAAATAATATTTATAATAATAATTTAGTTATTGTACATCTAGATCTAGAGTCTAGTATTTTTTATTATTTATTAACTATTTTAGTATTAAAAATTATTTATTATTTATAAACTAGACTAGATTAGATCTAGAAAAATCTAGATCTAGATCTAGATTCTAATCTAGGGTGGCAGGCCCTATGACGCCCTATGTAAGAAATTCTGAAATAGTATCTAGTATCTAGATTGCTAGATTCTAGATCTAGATCTAGATCTATAGCCTCACGGACAAATACCCCTAAAAGCCAGAGTCCAAATAAAATTATTATCATCCAACATAGATGTGGCCATGCAAAGTAATTTGGATCGAACATTGAAATATTAGATCTAATAATATTATGGCCATGTTTTCCTGATGAAGAATGGATTTTAGGGGGCGTCATTTGGTGTTTGTAGCAAAACAGATCAATTCGGAAGAAAATGGTTGCCAGATAAAAATATATAAAACAGATTAAGAAGTATAAATTTAGCCTACACGTTCAATGGGGGTCTGGCCCGTAGTAGTAGCTGATCCCGTTAAAGTTAAAGGTAGGTTGTCGCATAGGCCTAACCTACTTTTTTTTTACCGTCGACATGGTAATGATGGCTGCCGAAACGTGATTCCGTTGTTGTTTTTTTTTTACAATGTTCCATGGTCATTTCAGAAATGTATCCTTAAAATCGTTATTTTTGCGTATTATTCAACGATACCGGTCTAATTTTAACAATGATGCTAACTTGCCATATGTACCTATCTTTCTGTCTAATCGCTGAGAATATCGAGCAGAACATAATACATATACAAGTAAGCAAATCGCGAATTGCTGTAGATCTATTTATTGTTCTAAACTTACTGAAAATATATCTTAACTATAGAAAATTATAACTTGCTTTCTACTAAACTAATGTCATTAATGTTTTAACAAATAGGGCAGGGTAAAAACGAAACCTATAAAACAACTTGATCGAGACAACAGCAAACTAAGCCCGCTTATTTTGCCCGCCGTGTATTTGAATAGGGAGAAATCTAGCAGACGACACATTTCTGCTGAACGGCACTGAATGGTCAGTCGCGTCACAAAAACACGCCTAAAAAACTAACCCACCGTAGGCTATCACTGAAAATCATCGTAGCCATTTAAAAACAAATACGTTTTTTTTTTAAAAATAATTTTCTAGGCTCCCGATAAAATCGGATAAATAAAATTGGTATCAAATTAAAGTTAAATAAATGTTGTTTTTAATTTTTAAAGTCATCATGAACAATAATGAAGTTTAAAATCTTATGTGACACCCTAGTTCAGGGGTTCCCAACCTTTTTTTACTCTAGAGCAGGGGTTCCCAACCCCGTGCCCGCGGGCGCCATGGCGAACGATTCGTATGTGCCCGCCTCTCACTATTCGACAAAAGAACGTAAAGAAAATATCAAATACACAAATAGTGCTAAAACATAATAAACGGATCAATGTAAAATAATATTTCCGCTTATATGCCTTGAAAAATAGATTCATTTTAATAACAGTAGGGTCGAATAAAACTAATCAATTAAAATGTTTAATAAAATATTTTATAACTATGCCAGGCGAGGTTATTTATCTTTCAGGCAACTCTACCAAAAATTTCAAGTACCCCCACCCCTCTCCGGGGAGGAAAAAGTCTGAAAGAAACACTGGTCGCATTTGTAGATCATACAAACTAAAGGAAGAAGCTGGGCGGTGCTTCGCCCCTACCGGAAGAGATGCTTGAAAAAAAAACTGCACGCTAAACAATTTTTAGATTAGAAAAAGTTTCCCCCTCCGGGGAGGAAAAAGTCTGAAAGAAACACTGGTGTCGCGCTTAGCCACTACCCGAAGAATTGCATTAAAGAAATTGCAAGAAAACCACTTTTTAGAGTAGACACAATAATTAGGCGGTAATTTTATTATAGAGCATCGATGAAGAAATTTCTTTTGAGTTGGGGAGGGGGGAGGGGCTCAGACGTTCTTACGCGGGGGTGGGGCTTCGCCCCTACCCGAAAAATTGTATGAAAGAAAGTCTTCACGCAAACCATTTAGATTAGACAAAATTGCCTTTTTATTCAATGTTTACTCGAGAATCAATGACGTCATATTACTGTGTGCACTCTCCGGCTTGAGATTATTTTCTACTCTATGCTAAATGTGACGACGTCATATTTCGTTTTTCGAATTACTATGCATGTTTTTAATTTGCTTGTGTTTTCTCTAGAGCGTTCTTGTCAGATAGACAGACAGCAAAACTTTGCTTGTGTTTTCTCTAGAGCGTTCTTGTCAGATAGACAGACAGCGAAACTATTAGTATTAACGAGAAAAATGGCCCGTTGAGGAAGGATACACCGGGCGCTAGGTTGATAGTGCTGTCTCTTTTCTCTAAACTAAAACCACCCCACCCCCCCCCCCCCCACACACCACCCCCACCCCCCCACCCCCACCCCCACAAACACCACCCCAACACCCCCCACCCACCCCCAACCCCCCACACCCCCACCCCCACACACACCACCCCAACCCTCCCCACCCCCCCCACACACACACACCACCCACCCCCCCCCACCCCCACCCCCCAAAAAACATGTCTACCGTCCCATTCAACGAAATATAATTATATACTTTTTCCAGTGTCCGCCGCCTCCCCGAAAATTCTACCCCCGCCCCCGAAAATTTAAAGTACCCCCACCCCTCTCCGGGGAGGAAAAAGTCTGAAAGAAACACTGGTGTCGCGCTTAGCCACTACACGAAGAATTGCATTAAAGAAATTGCAAGAAAACCACTTTTTAGATTAGACACATTAATTAGGCGGTAATTTTATTATAGAGTATCGATGAAGAAATTTCTTTTGAGTTGGGGAGGGGGGAGGGGCTCAGACGTTCTTACGCGGGGGGTGGGGCTTCGCCCCTACCCGAAAAATTGTATGAAAGAAAGTCTTCACGCAAACCATTTAGATTAGACAAAATTGCCTTTTTATTCAATGTTTACTCGAGAATCAATGACGTCATATTACTGTGTGCACTCTCCGGCTTGAGATTATTTTCTACTCTATGCTAAATGTGACGACGTCATATTTCGTTTTTCGAATTACTATGCATGTTTTTAATTTGCTTGTGTTTTCTCTAGAGCGTTCTTGTCAGATAGACAGACAGCAAAACTTTGCTTGTGTTTTCTCTAGAGCGTTCTTGTCAGATAGACAGACAGCGAAACTATTAGTATTAACGAGAAAAATGGCCCGTTGAGGAAGGATACACCGGGCGCTAGGTTGATAGTGCTGTCTCTTTTCTCTAAACTAAAACCACCCCACCCCCCCCCCACACACCACCCCCACCCCCACCCCCACAAACACCACCCCAACACCCCCCACCCACCCCCAACCCCCCACACCCCCACCCCCACACACACCACCCCAACCTTCCCCACCCCCCCCCACACACACACCACCCACCCCCCCCCCCACCCCCACCCCCCAAAAAACATGTCTACCGTCCCATTCAACGAAATATAATTATATACTTTTTCCAGTGTCCGCCCCCTCCCCGAAAATTCTACCCCCGCCCCCGAAAATTTAAAGTACCCCCCACCCCTCTCCGGGGAGGAAAAAGTCTGAAAGAAACACTGGTGTCGCGCTTAGCCACTACACGAAGAATTGCATTAAAGAAATTGCAAGAAAACCACTTTTTAGATTAGACACATTAATTAGGCGGTAATTTTATTATAGAGTATCGATGAAAAAATTTCTTTTGAGTTGGGGAGGGGGGAGGGGCTCAGACGTTCTTACGCGGGGGGTGGGGCTTCGCCCCTACCCGAAAAATTGTATGAAAGAAAGTCTTCACGCAAACCATTTAGATTAGACAAAATTGCCTTTTTATTCAATGTTTACTCGAGAATCAATGACGTCATATTACTGTGTGCACTCTCCGGCTTGAGATTATTTTCTACTCTATGCTAAATGTGACGACGTCATATTTCGTTTTTCGAATTACTATGCATGTTTTTAATTTGCTTGTGTTTTCTCTAGAGCGTTCTTGTCAGATAGATAGATAGACATACAGCGAAACTATTAGTATTATAATAACGAGAAAAATGGCCCGTTGAGGAAGGATACAACGGGCGCTAGGCTGATAGTGCTGTCTCTTTTCTCTAAACTAAAACCACCCCCCCCCCCCCCACACACACCCCCCCACCCCCCAAAAAAACATGTCTACCGTCCCATTCAACGAAATATAATTATATACTTTTTCCAGTGTCCGCCCTCTCCCCGAAAAATTCTACCCCCGCCCCCGAAAATTTCAAGTACCCCCACCCCTCTCCGGGGAGGAAAAAGTCTGAAAGAATTACTGGTGTCGCGCTTAGCCACTACCCGAAGAATTGCATTAAAGAAATTGCAAGAAAACCACTTTTTAGATTAGACACATTAATTAGGCGGTAATTTTATTATAGAGTATCGATGAAGAAATTTCTTTTGAGTTAGGAAGGGGGGGAGGGGGGGCTCAGACGTTCTTACGCGGGGGTGGGGCTTCGCCCCTACCCGAAGAATTGTATGATAGAAACTCTTCACGCAAACCACTTAGATTAGACAAAATTTCCTTTTTATTCAATGTTTACTCGAGAATCAATGACGTCATATTACTGTGTGCACTCTCCGGCTTGAGATTATTTTCTACTCTGTGCTAAATGTGAAGACGTCATACTTCGTTTTTCTAATTACTATGCATGTTTTTAATTTGCTTGTGTTTTCTCTAGAGCGTTCTTGTCAGATAGACAGACAGCGAAACTATTAGTATTAACGAGAAAAATGGCCCGTTGAGGAAGGATACACCGGGCGCTAGGTTGATAGTGCTGTCTCTTTTCTCTAAACTAAAACCACCCCACCCCTCCCCCCCCCCACCCCCCACCCCCACCCCCACACACACCACCTCAACACCCACCCCCCACACCCCTACCCCCACACCCCTACCCCCACACACACCACCCCAACCCCCCCCCCCACCCCCCCCCCACACACACACCACCCACCCCCCCCCACCCCCACCCCCCAAAAAACATGTCTACCGTCCCATTCAACGAAATATAATTATATACTTTTTCCAGTGTCCGCCCCCTCCCCGAAAATTCTACCCCCGCCCCCGAAAATTTAAAGTACCCCCACCCCTCTCCGGGGAGGAAAAAGTCTGAAAGAAACACTGGTGTCGCGCTTAGCCACTACACGAAGAATTGCATTAAAGAAATTGCAAGAAAACCACTTTTTAGATTAGACACATTAATTAGGCGGTAATTTTATTATAGAGTATCGATGAAGAAATTTCTTTTGAGTTGGGGAGGGGGGGAGGGGGGCTCAGACGTTCTTACGCGGGGGTGGGGCTTCGCCCCTACCCGAAGAATTGTATGCAAGAAACTCTTCACGCAAACCATTTAGATTAGACAAAATTTCCTTTCTATTCAATGTTTACTCGAGAATCAATGACGTCACATTACTGTGTGCACTCTCCTGTCTACTCTATGCTAAATGTGACCGCGTCATACTTCGTTTTTCGAATTACTGTGCATGTTTTTATTTTGCTTGTGTTTTCTCTAGAGCGTTCTTGTCAGATAGATAGATACACAGACAGCGAAACTATTAGTATTAATACTACCTTTTATTTATTTAATACACTGAACATACTTTTTACTAATTATTTTTAATCAATAACACTTTAGAAGCCGCTCCTAAATGTCTATGTATACTTCTATCTTTCAGTTTGTGGACAAGCTGGGGGATTTATAGTCGTTTAATCTGTGCTATCCTGTGAGCGCTATGGTGCATACTTTCGTTTTAAAGAGTGGGATAAGCTGTGGGTAAAAATAGTTACTATAATCCTTCACTAAATAGAATCCAGGGCGTCCTCTGGCGCCACAACAGAGTGTTATTTGGCACCCCGGACCTCTCCGTGAGTGCTATGGCGCCGACTATCCTTATAAGTGAGTGCAATATTCTATGGATAAGTTGGGGTATAAGTCGTTCCCTAAATTGAATCAGGCGGTTCCGCGGTGCGATTTGGCGCTCCGGGCTAGACTGTGAGCACTATGCGTTTATATTTGCATTTAAGTCTGTAATTATGTTATGCGTTGTTTTCGTTTGTGT